CCTCCCTCCCTCCCTCCCTCCCTCCCTCCTTGTCTCCCTCCCTTTTTTTGTGATGATACTTGAACTCAGGTCCTTGCATATTTGCTGGGCTTTTCTCTTACAGCTGATGTTCTACTACTAAGCCACACCTCCAGTTCTGGCCTTTTGCTGGTAAATTGTAGATTTTCGTCTCTCAGGTTTGTCTGCCTGGAGTTGGCTTCTAACTGCAAATCTTCAGATCTCAGCCTTTGAGGCGCTAGAATTACAGGTGTTGATTATTGAAATCCCTAGCATTTTGCTTCTCCCTTACTCCTGTAAAAGTTGCCTGTTGGTATCATTGAAACAAATGATCTTATCCTATTTTAGCTCATAAATTTTAGTTTATTTCCTATGTTTAATTTCTAAGTTTATAAAACCTAACTTTTTAATGCTACATTAAAAATAATGTTACATTATTTCTTCTTTTTTAGGAAAAAGCTTGCAAAGAACTAAAGCATCAACTTCAAGTACAGACAGAAAGCACAGTAAAGGAACAGAATGAACTGAAACAATTACTTGAGAAAGAGAGGGAGGTAAGATGTGCCTTTTTAAGGCATAAATATGTGAAGTATAGCCTTTATATTTGCAAAATAGTTTTACCCTAATTCTTAGGTCAAAAGAATGTTCATTTCTCTTAAATGCAATGGACTATACATACAAATAATATATATATATATATATATATATATGTTTGTATGCATGTATATTTCATTAATGTATATTACATTTATATACATACACATATTTGTGTCCTACTTATTTCTAAAACAATTTAATTTTAAATAAAAGACCCAAATAAAGGGATAAATTTTATAAAAAGCAGAAAATTGGACCAACTGACTATGTACTAATAAACTAATAAGTAATTTAGGTTAGGAGCATTATTATGGCAGATAATATTAAATTTTGTAGACATATCCTTTTAAGGACTATTTATTTCAGAGGTATTTATAATGATGATATATTTAATTATGTATACATAATTATCAAGAAATATTTCTGTGCTGAGGATGTAATTCAGTGGTAGACTGCTTTCCTAGTAGGTACAGACTCCTGAATTCAATCCTCAGCACCACAAAAAAGATTATGAGGTATTTCTATTGTCAATATTTTGGTAGATATCCAGTTAAAATACACAGCAAATGAGTAAATAAGTAGGTGTTGCACATAGTTTTTACTCTTTGAAGACATTCCCTTTAACAGCTAGAATTCTAGGCATGCAACTTTCTAACAAACGTGATTTGATAAAGCAACAAAATGAAGTCTTGACAATTGTTTGATGTCATTGTATTCTGATAGTTGATTGAAAGAAGACATTTGTGATATAGATATCAACCATGTAAATGACAAAACTATCTTTTCATAGTGTTCAGGTTTTGAATCAAAACTGTCAAAATAGGGATGGGAATGAGGCTTAGTCGTAGAGTGCTTGCCTAGTATTCATGAAGCCCTGAGTTCGATTCCTGAGTACCACATAAACAGAAAAAGCTGGAAGTGGCGCTGGATCTCTAGTGGTAGAGCACTAGCCTTGAGCAAAAGAGGCTCAATGACAGTGCCCAAGGTCCTGAGTTGAAGCCCAAGGACTGGCAAAAAAAATTGTCTAGATAATAAATGTTCTTCTTAGGCAGTTTATTCACCATACCTTTTGACATGTTTGACAGTTTCCCTAATCATTCTGTCCTCCACTCTCCTCAGCAATTAAAGGGGACTAACTTAGAAATAAATGGATTAATATACATAGAGTGCTCAGAAGGCTGATTATAACAAAGTAGATGCTTTTATGTTAGTTATTATTTTATCACCAGTTTTTATAATATTATAATTGTTATTGCTATATTATCTGACTCCTGTTTTAGATAAAATTGTCTATACATTGGAGATATATCATGAAAACTTTTTTGAAAATCATTTTGAATATGATCAAATTCTCAAATGCAATTCTATGTTCATAATGAAATATGCATAAAGTAGGGAAATATAACTTGGCTGGAAAAAATTAAAATAGTGCTTCTTTGTGGCCACAGAAGAACCTAATTGTGACTTCTAGATGTCCTAAATTTGAACAGGAAAAATAGGCTGAGTAGCATTTGAGAATACTTTTGGAAGTGAATAGATATTCCAACCATCTAAACTTGATGTTGACATTCTTACTCTATATGATACAAGTGCATATTAATCTACTTCATTTGCAACTCTACCTACATATGTAATTATATGTTTAAAAAGGAAAATAATACTAAGTAAATCATAACAGATATTACTCTTGCAAGTAATAATAGTGTCAGTTCTTAAAGCAGCATGAAAGCAGCATTTTTTTTTCTCTTGCTCCCTGATTCTTTGTTTCCAAGGGGTCAGTAATTTCTACCAAGGCTAGTGTGTGACATGTTGTAGGTACTCAATGAATGGATTATTGACTCCCAATCACCATTCTTTTTTTTTTTTCCCCAGATTACTCATCAGGTGACCTTGGAACTCAGTTCAATTAAGGAAGAAGTCATTCAGGCCCAAAATACTTTAAAACGAAAGGAAAAAGAAGAGCAGCAACTTCTGGAAAACATAAAAGAGCTAAAACAATCAACTGAAAAGAAGAAAAAGCAAATTGAAGCACTCCAAGGAGAAGTTAAAATAGCTGTTTCACTGAAGGTATTGATAAGAAATTTGTTTACTTATGATAGGAAGGAAAACTAGTCAATTAAGCTAATAATATGATTCAAACACATGATTTTATCCTAGCAACATATACATATTCTCAATTTTCTAAATTTTTCTATGTTAAATGTATTCCTGTGTTTTATTATGTGATTAAATATCTGTCTGGATTTCCACTCACTATAGTCATCTTATAATTTAAAATTGTATTGTCAATCATTTATCTAATACACAAATAACATTAGGCAATTTATTATTTTAGTATATTAGAAAAATTTAAATTCTAAACAAATCATCTTTACTAAGGAAAGCAATAAAAAACAAGGTTTCATATAGTATATTTAATATTTTTTTGATGCTAGTCCTAGAACTTGAACTCAGGTCCTGGATGCTGTCCTTGAGGCTTTTTGCACAAACTATCAGTGCTCTACCAGTTGAGCCACAACCCCTCTTTGAGCCTTTGGGTGTTTATTATGGATAAAAGAGCCTCAGACTTTCCTGCCCAATCTGGCTTCAAACTGTGATCATCAAATCTCAGACTCCTGAGTAGCTAAGATTTCAGGCATAAACCCCTTGCATCTATTTTTTTTTTAACCTTTAAGTTTACTGGTAAAGCAGTTAATAAACCGTTATATTTATTGTTTTTTTAGACTTTGTTTTTCCTTTTGGTCAATCCGGGGCCTTGAACTTTGGGTAGCAAGGATTACAGGCATGAGCCACTGGATGCATTACATAGTTTTAAAATTGTGACTTAAATTTTGTCATTCTTTAACTTTATGATATAAAGTACTCATTATGATGCAGAATTTTAGAACATAAGTACAGATGAACTTGTTTTGAAAAATGATTAATTGTACGAGTTTCATTTTATATTTGTAATGATTTTTATAAACATTCTGTTTTAAATACTTACTGTATGTTTCAGACAGAGCTTGAAAATAAACTCGAGCAGCAGTCAGCAGAGGCAGCCCAGGAACTTGCAGCAGAAAAAGAAAAAGTAGCAGTGTTAAAAACCACATATGAAAAATGTCAGGAAAATCTAAAACAGCTTCAATCTGATTTCTATGGAAAGGAATCTGAACTTCTAGCCACAAGGCAAGATCTTAAGGTATTTAAACTATATTATGCCATAAAATTCAGCTAGTTGTTTATAGACATTCATTACTTGATTCATTTGAGCCCAAATGGGCAAGAAACTGTTCATATTTTTAAATCATTGTGCTTGTTTTCTATAAAATGTTATTTTTAGATTAACATGCTTTTCAAAAAATTGTTTTATATATAACAGAATAATGATATACATTAATGTAGGCATTTTAAAGTAAGTTCTACTTGTAATAGTGAAATAATAGTTACATATGTCAGCTAGTTTGGCTTAAGGATCTTGATGTTTTTACTTGAAGATAACTAATGATGGGTCATGTTACAAAATCTAAGGAACTTTTAAATACAAGCACTAGTGAAAATGCAAATAATTTTACTGTGATTAGTTAGGCAATACTGATTTTAGGTTTTGTTATTTGTCACCTTCATGAGATTCCTAGAATGTTAACTGATTAAATTTAGGACATTATAGCTCAAACTTAACCTTTATTATCCAATGATGTATAGAGATTTTGTTTTGGGGTATTATTTTGTCAGCAATAAAGAGACAAGCTTATTAAAATGAAGGGCATGGAAAAAGATAAACACTTTTTGCATAACATTACCAGTTCTGTAAGAGAAATGAAATATTTGTGCTTCCTCATGGAAAATTCAGCCAGTCTTTCCTCTTCTTTCTTCGTTCTCCTAAATACCATGCTTTCTGTTTCTTTCCTATGTCTTAGATTTAAAAAAAAATTTTTTTAATTAAAGTTTGCTGGGTGCCAGTGCCTCATGCCTATAATCCTAGCTGCTCAGGAGGCTGAGATCTGAGGATCTAGGTTCAAAGCCAGCCCGGGCAGGAAGCTCTGTAACACTCTCATTTCCAATAAACCACTCAGAAAACCAGAGTGGCACTGTGGCTCAAAGGGTAGAGTGCTCACCTTGAGCTGAAGAGCTGAGGTATAGCGCCCAGGCCCAGAGTTCAAGTCCTATGACCAACAAAAAAAGAAAAAAAAAGAAAATAGATTTTATTGTTAAGGTGATATACAGAGGGGTTATAGTTACATAAGTAAGGTAGTGAGTACATTTCTTGTCAAACTTGTTATCCTCTCCTTCATTTTTCTCCTACTTTCCCTTCCCCCTTCCCCCCCCACACTTCTGGCTTTTTTTTCTGGTTGAGATAACAGTTTTATCTTTTATTTTGCCTAAGCTGATGTTGAACTTCAGTCCTTAACTCTAAACCACAGGTTACAAGCCATGGGCACTTGGTTCCCACCTCTTTTTTTTTAATTTTTTTTATTTATTTTTTTTTGGGGTCCGGTCGTAGGGCTTGAACTCTGGGCCTGGGCACTGTCCCTCAGCTCTTCAGCTCAAGGCTAGCGCGCTACCACTTGAGCCACAGCGCCACTTCCGGCTTTTTTCTTTTTGCTTATGTGGTGCTGAGGAATCGAACCCAGGGCCTCATGTTTGCAAGGCAAGCGCTCTACCACTGAGCCACCTTCCCAGCCCTCCCACCTCTTTTTAAAAGCAAGAAATGTGGCAATTTTTCCAATGCAATGACCTTCAGTTATTTGTTTATTTAAGGTGCAGAATTGTAACATCTATTGAAAATCAGACATTAGAATGTTTATTTACATATATAATGTATGCATTTTATGCATAGGTTCTGGTGGGAAAGTCTTTTTGGAGGAGAAAGGACTTGACTGGGTCCTGAAGTATATGTACATTTTGAATATGCAGAATCCTGAGAAAGGTCATTCCACTCAGGGGCACATTTGAGAAAAGGTACTACGGTGGGAGTAGGCAAAGCTAGGACATGCTTAATGTGATGTCTCCCTGTAGTGCTGGATGTATTTGGAATTTAGGTTAAAAGTTCTATCTAAATTGTGAAGTATTTTAGATGCATAACAAAGACCAGTGGATTTTTATATGGTAGAAAAAGTGAAAAGTCTAAGTATAGAGGTAAAATGAAGAAAACAGTATTTATGAAAAAATTTTCAGTTTTAAGGAAATTTTTTTAAAGAATCTTGAGTTGACTGATCTTACAAAGATTAGTTAAGATGTTCTCTTTTTCTATTTGAATAAACAGGTGTGAGTTCTTAAGAACTAGGATTAAATGAAGTTAGTAAAGATAGAAGTGATTAGTAGGAGGGAGACTAAACGAAAGGTCTGAATATATAACAGGCTGCAAGACAAGTGAAGAAATCAATAGTAATTAATGATTTGACACAGATGTAGAAAATCAGGTAAAAGAATTTTCCTATAGCCAATAGCATGTACATGCAACAGCAAAATACTAAAATTAAGCTGGGCATTATGGTACACATTTGTGATCCCAGTACTGGGGAATCTGAGGCAGGAGAATAACAAGTTTGAGGCTAGCTTAGAGCACATAGTAAAATTCTGTCTTAAAAACAAAATTAGCAAGACAAATTTAGATAGTGTTAAATTGTTATGATTTCTTTTTCATAGCATTGAAATGCAAGGAAGGTTTGTGGAGGAGTTTGGGTTTAAACTAAGGCAGTAAGGAACTAATGAAGGGAGATAACATAGTTTTGTATTTGGGGCAAATGTCTGATAGCAGAATGACAAAAAGGTTAGGGGGGAACAAGGCTGGAAGCAAAGACTAGAAAGGGTATGGTAGTCTTAAGTGCAGGATGATGTTGGTTTGGGTTGGTAATAACTTAAGGATGGAGGAAAGTAGAATTTGAAGGGTATTCAGTGATGGATAGAATTTATGATTGATTGTATAAGTTCTGTATAAATCACACTGTTTTCATATGAATATGTCATTTACCTAGAGCTTAGTCTAGTAGGATTTATAGCTCATAAATCAACACTGTCATTATGGCAAAATTATTATTATGGCATGCATCTAGAATGAGAAGTATTATTTAAAATGAGAAGTATAAGTATGACTTAGGAAATTATTTTTATTTTATTTTAAATTACTGGTAAATTTAAATGATATCTATAGATGAGAATGAGAGTTATTAACCATTATTTTCCTTTTGGTTCAGTGATATTTTTTGATTTTATATATAACACAAAAGGAGGTTTAGAACCTTTTGTAACATGACACCAACCTATATGAAGTCTTTCTACTGTGGACTCCAGTAGAATGGAAGACATGCTGGGCTGATTTATGCTATTAGCCCCATCTGCTGGGTGGTTTATGAAATACTTGTTTGTTGATGGGATATGTCAAATTGGCTAAGCTATATGTATACATAATATAGAATTTGACTATAGCTCTTTTAAATTGTTTTTCCTATCTCAACTTGCATTTTCTCTAACTCTATATACAATTCCCTGGCATATTTGATATCATTATGATATTCCTTTATATCACCTAGCTAATATTAAAGATAAACATTCAGTTTTAAATTATTTCTAAGCCGGGCGCTTGGTGTCTCATGCCTGTAATCCTAGATACTCAGGAGGCTGAGATCTGAGGATTGCGGTTCAAAGCCTGCCTGGGCAGGAAAGACCGTGAGACTCCTATCTCCAATAAACCACCAGAAAACCGGAAGTGGCGCTGTAGCTCAAGTGGTAGAGCGCTTGCCTTGAGCTGAAGAGCTGAGGGACAGCGCCCAGGCCCAGAGTTCAAGCCCCACAACCGACCAAAAAAAAAATAAATAAATTATTTCTAAAACTTCAGTTAAAAACTTCAGTTTTTACTGAGTATTGTACTCTGTAGATATTAGAGTACATAATTTAGTTTTTTGTCTTTTAAATGATTATATTGAATACTGTCTTTCTACACTATAGTCACATATTCATTATGAAGCTTCTGTTAGCAACAGTCCAGGAGAAATATTATAAGACTATAAAGGAATTGAAAAATTCCTATTATCTGATGTTTTTCCTAAAATTTTCTATGTTTAAATATTCAACACACAAATATTCAACAATCTTGTTACAGTCTTGAATGCTTTAACATGTATAGGTTTGTAGCCTGGAGGCAACAGGCTATATCATGTACTTCAGCATAAAGTAGACTAACCCATCATAAGTTTGTTTTTAACTGAATGCTTTGATGATATTCACATGACAGAAAGGCTGTGAAGGATATTCAGAACATGTGTATTGTTAATTGGAGAAAAGACTAGTGTTTCCCATAATGTTTTTGTTAACTAATGTTTCTGTTGAACTTTGTTAAAAATGACATAATAATTTGGGGAAATTGTTTTTTGTAAGTCTGTAGAAGAGAAGCTTTCTCTAGCACAGGAAGATTTGATTTCAAACAGAAATCAGATTGGAAACCAAAATAAATTGATTCAAGAACTAAAGACTGCCAAAGCTACTTTGGAGCAAGATTCAGTAAAGAAAGAACAGCAACTGAAGGAGCAGAGTAAAGCATTACAAGATATTCAGAAAGAAAAGGTACTTCATTTCTGACTTAATCCAGACTCCTAGAAGTTCAGTGGCCTTTTAGATCATCTAGTAATACTTTTTTTTTCTTTCTGTCTTTTTATTTTTTTGGTCTTTCCTGGTGCTTGAACTCAGGGCTTGGTTGGACACTGCCCCTGAACTTCTTTTACTCAAGGCTAGCACTTGAGCTACAGCACCACTTCTGGCTTTTTCTGTTTATGTGGTGCTGAGGAATCGAACCCAGGGCTTCTTGCATCTTAGACAAGCCACATTCCTAGCCCTAGTAACACTTTTTATTCAGTACTGATATCACTTTTATTTCAACAGCTGTCTTAGAACACCTACAGAAGATGCTAGAACATTTTTAGTATTGTGATTTTTTTTAGGATAACAAGTACTTCTTAATCACTTCCTTGTTATGTATACTGACTTTTCTTACTGCTCTTCAAAGGTTTATAAACACCATGGATTCTTGACTGTTTGAGAATAAACTATTTCTCCTATAATGTTATCCTCTAGATGTGTGAATGCAAAATTAGAAAGTTTAAAATAATTATTTGTTAACTGTTCTTAAAATTAAGAATCAGCTTTTACTCAGGAAACAGAGTTTTACATAAACTCTGCTAAATTATAAATTTAAAAGCATTTGTTTAGGCTTAGAGATATGGCTCATCAGTAGAGCACCTGCGTAGCAAATGTGAGACCTTGAGTTCAAACTCTAGTTCTACAAAAAAACCCAAAAAGATTTTTATGACTAACACATTAAAAATTACTTTAAATTTTATATAAAGAGAAATTCAGATTCTAGTAAACACTTTATTTTTTGTTTGGCTTTTGAAATTATATATTTCTACCAGATGTTTGGGTATTATTCTGAAATACACAATTCCTGGCATTCTTGATATATTCTGAATTGTGGAATTCTTGTAATTCTCTTTAGTTAAAAAATTTGAGATGTTTTTTTGTAAAGGTTCAAATAGTGAACTAGAATGATCTACGTTTATGACTTACGCTCCAAGTTTAGGAAGTTCTGTAGTGTATAAGTATTTAATTATGAGGGGCTTTAGATCAAACACATTTTAGTTTAGTGTTAGAACTGTTTCTAAATAGATTATTAAAATTTTCTTAAACCTTTGCTCCTTTACCTTTAAAATGGAGATTGAAAAATCTACCTGCTGTAGAGATTAAATGATATAATACATAATGTTCCACTTAGTACCTTATATAATCTAGTGATACTAAAAGGAGTTAAAAGAATAAAAATGGTATATTTTTGGCTAAACTTTATAGTATTCTTATTTTGGCCAGACATTCATTTCACATTATTAATGATAACTATTTAATCCTGTTAATGGCATTATTAAGGGAAATAAGAAGAGAGGATATGTAATTTGTGTGGTTGGTAGAAAGGGCAGTCAATATTAAATAATAGCAGCCTTTTATTATACTCATTTTCAGCTAAATGTTTGATTTTTTAAAAAATATTTTTAACATTTTTTTTACAGTCCATGAAAGAGAAGGAGCTAGTGAATGAAAAATCTAAATTGACAGAGATAGAGGAAATTAAGTGTAGACAAGAAAAAGAAATTATTAAACTAAGTGAAGACCTCAAATCCTACAAACAGGAAAGCCTAAAGGTAGGTTCATGGTTTTCTTGTCTTCTATGTTATTCTTTAAATTTATACATAAATTTATATTTATATATAATATATATATTTATATATATTTGTAAATATATATATTTATATTTATGTATTATAAATTTAAATTTATATATTCAAGAAATTAAGAAAACCCACTATGTGCAGGCAAATTATTTTGTTTTTGACAAATACTTATGCTAAAGTGCTCTTGTATTCATGGTATCAATATACATATTGAAATTATGTTAGTTTTGTTTTGTGATTACTGGATAAGGCAAAGTAGCCCTAAAGTTTAGATTTCACTGAGATTATAATCAGGAATTGATTTAGAAAACTATGTTAATAATTTAATAGTCTTAACATTTGCAAGAATTTAGAAGTAAGATTTTTTTTTTTATCAGTTGTGAGGCTTGAACTCAGTGCCTGGGCACTATCCCTGATCTCTTCTGTTCAGTACTAGCATTCTACCACTTAGTCACTCCATCACTTCTGGTTTTCTGGTAGTTAATTGGCGTAAGAGTCTTATGGACTTCCCTGCCCAAGCTGGCTTTGAACTGTGATCCTCAGATCACAGCCTCCTGAGTAGCTAGGATTATAGCATGAGTCACTGGTTCCCGATTAGAAGTAAGATTTTTAATGGAGTATGTTTTTCAATTATTTTTCTTTTATTTTTATTTTTGTTGTAAAGGTGATGTACAGAGGGGTTGCAGTTACATAAGTCAGGTAATGAGTACATTTCTTTTTGAACAGTGTGATCTCTTCCCTCATTTTCTCCCAGTTTTTTCTCTCCTAACCTCTTTCCTCCACAAGTTGTATAGTTCGTTTTCAACATAGTGTCTAGTGATTATCACTGCTGAATTAGTTCACCCTTTCCCCCACCATTTTTGTGCTTCCCCTTACCTTCCTTAAATCAGATAAACTTATAGATAAGACAAAAGGTATGTTTTTCAATTATTTTTCTTCAAATCCTTTAATAATGTCTTCTTTTTAACATTTTATCCCTTAAAAGATAGAGTGGCAATTGAAGAATCTAGTCCTCATTTGTCATATACATATTATCTAATATCTTAGTGAAAGGTTAGACTCTGTCTTGAGAACTCGAAAGTTTATCACCATGCTTACCATTTTACATCCTAAATTATTTTATGTTATTCCCTCTAGCATGAGACTTAAAGCAGAGAATATAAAATTATGTCCTCAGTACAGTATATAATGACCAAATGATGATCAATAAATATTTGTTATGTGAGAAATGGAAAGTAGGAAGTAGAGATTTTCCCACATAACATACTCAAAATGTGCATGGTAAGTGTCACCTGAATCAAATGATTAGTGATCAGGAAGTAGTCTGGCCTCTTTTAACTGATTGTTTGAAATACTGAACTTGAGTCTCCCAAGGATGTAAAACTCAGTGTATCTGTTGTAGTAATTTAAAAATATTTACTATTTATGATGATTTTATTTTGGCCTGTTCAACAGGAGGTAACAAATCTCAAAGATGCCAAACAGCTTTTGATTCAGCAGAAATTAGAACTTCAAGGAAAAGTCGACTCCTTGAAGGCTACTCTTGAACAGGAGAAAAAAACCCAGCAAATGCTAAAAGAGCAGGTGAAAAGGGAAGAAGATGAATTGAAGAAAGAATTTGTTGAGAAAGAAGCTAAACTGGTCAGTGAGTAGTTATGCTGTAACTCACACTTTTTTTTTTTTCTCGGTCGTGGGGCTTGAACTCTGGGCTTGTGCGCTGTCCCTGCGCTCTTTAGCTCAAGGCGAGCGCGCTCTACCTCTTGAGCCACAGTGCCACTTCTGGTTTTCTAAATGGTTTATTGGAGATAAGAGTCTCACAGACTTTCCTGCCTGGGCTGGCTTTGAACCTGGATCCTCAGATCTCAGCCTCTGTGTAGCTAGGATTATAGGCGTGAACCACCAGCTTTAAATCAGTCCATTGAAAGGAGTTTTATATCTAGAAATTATGATTGTCATTTTTTAAAACATTTTATATTTAAAGAGATAGAATCTGGTCTGCTTAAATAGCTGATGTGATTGGAAATTTTTTTTTTTTTGAACTCTGGGCTTGGGTGCTATCCCTCAGCTCTTCAGCTCAAGGCAAGTGCTCTACCACTTGAACCACAGCACTGCTTTTGGTTTTCTAGTGGTTTATTGGAGATAAGAGTCTCATGGACTTTCCTTGCTTGGGCTGGCTTTGAATCGTGATCCTCAGATTTCAGCCTCCTCAGTAGCTAGGATTACAGGCGTGAGCCACCAGTGCCCGGCTAACTGGAAATATTTTATTCCTTAATTATATCCTGGATTATAGCAATAAAAATTAAAATACAATTTTAAAACACTTTCAAAGCCAAAAGAAACTTATAATTATATAGATTGAGGTAAATAGTGTGAAAGCTAATGAGGTTAAACTCATTTGTTTTGGTCAAAATGAATGCTGGTACAGAGTAACAGAAACTTTTATTCGTAATTAAAGTGACCAGGGTCTGTTTTTCTTTCCCTATAATGGACATGCCAAATGGGAAGCATCTGGCTTCCTTTACTGAACTGACTCCAAATATTCTCAGATAAGTTGACTGTTCAAACAGTAGTTTGAAGGGCTTGTATTGTTTTTTGGTGGGTAGAAACTGAAGGATGCATCAAAAGACAATGGAAAGCTGGACATACCAGCTGTGGAGAACTTTTTATGTTAACCCTGTATATCTTCCCTTGTTCTGGAAGAAAAAAAGAATATCAAATTGCGTTACCTTACCTTAATTTATAAGAAGCTTGCTGCTTAACCATCATTTCTACATTATGGTGTTTGAGTACATCTAAGTTAAGACACACAGATGTTTGCAGAATAAATTTGATTAGTGTATGATGAAACAGTATTTTCAATATTTTTAAGAGGAAACCATACTGAATGAACAGGATTTTCATTATTTTCAATTCAATAATTTAAATTTATTTTGTTATTTTTGTAATAACCTCCACCCTTTTTTTCCTCAGCATTCTGAAATAAAAGAAAAAGAAGTAGGAATGAAGAAACATGAAGAAAATGAGGCTAAACTTACCATGCAGATCACAGCATTAAATGAGAACTTAGGCACTGTAAAGAAGGAGTGGCAATCTAGTCAACGGAGAGTTAGTGAGCTTGAGAAACAAACGGATGATTTACGGGGTGAAATAGCAGTCCTAGAAGCAACGGTTCAGAATAATCAAGATGAAAGAAGAGCACTACTGGAAAGGTGATTGATGCCTAGGAAAATTAGTTTATACCTTTTGTAAATGATAAAAAAAAAGATTGTCATATTCCACAGTTTTAAAATAGAGGAAGAATTGAGAAAATTGTGTAGCTCCTGAAGGTATGTAAGTAGCCATTTAAAAATTAACCCATAAACCAATTAGATATTTGAAATTAATGATTATTTAAAATTATTAAAGTAGTTAGTTACTTTTTTCTACAGGGTTTTTAATGATGGAAAAAATTACTTTTGCAATCTATTCCAGGTGTCTTAAAGGAGAAGGTGAAATTGAAAAGCTTCAGACCAAAGTACTAGAATTGCAAAGAAAGCTGGACAATACAACTGCTGCTGTCCAGGAGCTTGGCAGAGAAAACCAGTCCCTCCAGGTAAGCTACCGTGATATAAGATAGTTCCTTAGCCTAGAATTGACCTCTTAGTGAAAATTCTGTTTTTCATCTTTTAGTAGAGACCTCTAGGGTTAAGAGTATAGCTAAGTGGTAAAGTTTTTTGCTCAGCACATTCAAAGCCTTGAGTTCCACCCCCAGCACCACAAAACAAATACAACAGAATCAACAACAACAAAAACTCATGTTTAATAATTACTTTCAAATAGCTACTGTCTGGATTATAGGTTTTATGATATTTAAATAAAAAAGACATGAAGAACTTGATTCAGATATCTTAAGGATTAATTTGAGAACCATGCCATTCATGAATTTTCATTATAGGGAAAGAATTATAAAATTCAGGAATACTAAGAAATAGATGTCATTATATTAAAGAAATGATCTTGTTGTGCACTCCGAATCCTAAGAAAGGATTGATCATTAAGCTTTGAGTGGATGGGAAATCACCAAAGGGTCAAAATTACCATTGCCCTGAGGACTAATGTTTTTTAGACATTTCAGATTTATATCTGTTTTTGAAAAACAAATGTTGATCAAAGTATTCCTGACTTACAAAGTTTTATTCCATGTTGCATAGTCAAAATTTTGTAAATATCTGATATGAATTAGGAATAGTGTGTCATTCTTTAAAATGTGAATAATATATTAAAACTTTTTTAATAGATCAAACATACCCAAGCATTGAACAGAAAGTGGGCTGAGGACAATGAAGTACAAAACTGCATGGCCTGTGGGAAAGGCTTCTCGGTCACTGTGAGACGGGTAATGATTTTGTTCAGAGAGCTGTGGTTATGGATTTAGTTAGTTTTATTTTAACTATCAAAATCATTCTGCACTTGAAAGATTAATTTTTTTCTATTTATTGATAAAATTGGTAGGTAGGTCTGGGATTGTGGCTTAGTGATAGAATGCTTGCTTAGCATGCATCAAGCCCTAGGTTCAATTCCTCAGTACCATCTAAACAGTAAAAGCTGGAAGTGGCGCTGTGACTCAAGTGGTAGAGTGCTAGGCTTGAGCACAGAGAGGCTCAGGGACAGTGCCTAGGCCTCGAGTTCAACAGAACTGGCCAAAAAAAAAAAAAAAAAAAATGGTAGTTAAACATCATACAATGTAGTTTCTGGATAGCATTTTGTGTTTGAATTTTAGTTTTACTTCTAGCTGTTTCCTTAATGAATTGGTCTCTGGAATATTCATTTTCTGAGCTAGCATACAAATATTAAACTTATCTTTTAATCACCGAGTTCCTTTAAATAAGGAAAAACAGGTAGAAAATGTATTCTAAGTAATACTATCATGTTTATAAATTCCAATTGAAGACATTATTCCTGAAACTTTTGGCAAATTGGAATAGATTTTGTATTTAATAGTGTGTTTTACACTTTTAAAAAGCCTTCTAAACTGTTTGGTGAATTTCATGCTAAAAACTACATGAAATATTTAAGAGTATTTGGCAAATGTGAAGTGTTTGATTTAATATAACAAAAATTAAATTAACATAATGAAATTAAATACCAAAGTAATCACTGGAAAGTTAGCATTGACAGTGTAGTTTGAGATATTCATGTAGTTTTATAATACTTTTGGTATAGTTTTGTGCTTGAGAATGTTAATTTTTGTATTTACAGCATCACTGCCGGCAGTGTGGAAATATCTTCTGTGCTGAGTGTTCAGCCAAAAATGCCTTAACTCCTTCTTCCAAGAAGCCTGTTCGTGTCTGTGATGCATGTTTCAATGACTTGCAAGGATAATGGGATATCAGAACTTCAGAGTATTATTACACTAACATTAGATTTTTAATAAATGTGTTTCAAACAGTCTTGGATTACTCTTTGATTTGGACTCTGGTTATATACTAGACCAAATTAGAATTAGTATATTTTGGAATGTTATCAATATCAAGTACAACTCTTCTATTTTTGTGAGACTTGAGTTTATCTTTTGTTATTTTTTCCATTTATTCTTTCGGACAGCTTTCATGCCAAGTTCAGAATTAACCAATGAAATGTAAATAAACTTTGGACAGAAAATAGCAATGTATTTTTTTAAATATAATTTCATTGTTCACCAGTGATTAATTCAATCCATAACTTTCTTCTTTTTCCATCTATAAAAATGTATGTGGTTGTTGTTATCACTTGTTGCTGTTTTGTTGCACAATAGCACATTAATTGCATTAAATCTTTTCTTTGTAGAGTCATGAGCAGGACTGTAATTCTCACTATTCATTTCTCTAATATATAGGTCTCTGGCTTAGTTACATAAATTTACTCCTTGGGTATTCTAAATACAGTTTATGTTAAAATATATATTCCCCATGGATTCAAACATGGCTTTTGTTTTAATAGTAATGACTAAATTCTTAAGTAGATGCTGTGAAAGCCTCTGTAAAATCAATTTGCTTACTTTATTGTAATACTTGGATTATATGTCAGAGATTAGGGTAAATTCTTTTTGTTTTTGTTTTGTTTTCCAATTTTATTTGTAAATTTCCATATATTTTCTTTAAAAATCTTATAAAACTTCCCACCTTAGTTGAAGGATAAAAGAAATTGTATAATGGTTCTAATGTCATTTTCTTATTAATGGAAAGTCTTCTGAGATTATCCTTCACATTATACTCTTATTTTGACTTCTCAACATCTTTAGGAATGTTTGTTTTTATACATTTACTTTTGTTTGTTGGTTTGTTGTTTCTGAGACTGGGTCTTGAACTCAGGGCCTCAAAATACCAGTTTTTTTCACTCATGGCTGGCGCTCTATCACTTGAGCCACACTTCCACTCTGGCTTTTTGCTAGTTATTTGAAGGTTAAAGTCTCTTGTATTTGTCTGGCTAGGCTAGGTCCAAACTTTGGAATCACGTCGTGATTCTCTGATTTTAGCCTCTAGGGTTATAGGCGTGAGCCTCCAGCAACAGGCACTACTTTTTTCTTGATTTAACCTTCACATGCATAGCTCAGCTTCCTTGTAATTGTTTTGCTATTTTTTACTTTAAAGCTACTAACTGATAATCCTATACTCTTACCTATGAAAACAAAACATAAAATGGTAAGAAAATATTAGATATTCTAAGTTATATTTTCTTCTTAATAGGGAAGAATTTTGAAATTATAAAATTGATTCAAAATGTTTCTAAGCTACAGTTCCATGTTAGCTGGGAAATCTTTTAACTTTGGGGGAAAAAAAACCAACTGTGAAATTACCTTTAACAACTAATAAACAGTATCACCTAAAAGAAATACACTTTAGGAACTCCAAATTTGCAATAAAAACGAACAGCATTATTAAGCACCTTAAGGATAATTTGTAAGCTGAATAATGGAACTAAACTTAATTTTTTTCAGTCATATTAATTCAAGAGTTTGGAAAATTAACACTCGTATATTATCTTTTTTTTTTTTTTTAGTGGTGGGGCCTGAACTCTGGGCCTGGGCGCTATCCCTCAGCTCTTCAGCTCAAGGTTATCGCTCTACCACTTGAGCCACAGCGCCACTTCCGGCTTTTTTCTTTTTGCTTATGTGGTGCTGAGGAATTGAACCCAGGGCCTAGGCATGCAAGGCAAGTGCTCTACCACTGAGCCACCTTCCCAGCCCCTCGTATATTATCTTCCTGAAGGAAAAACGTAAAGTTACACACGCATTTAGTGTGTTTATTTAATAACAATAGCAGAGGATAACAGTATTTTATTTACAATAAATTATTAAATATACTTCTAAATATCATTCTGAAAGAAAATTATATGTTTATGCCATACATAAAGCATATTTTTAAAAAGACATGGAGAGATGTTGTTTATTAAAACAATTTAGGTAAACTGTATTGTCAGTAGCTCTCAAGTCCATAAACTTAGACAAACAATATACCCTTGATCATATATAAAGATGAAATGCAATGGCACTATTAAAAATAAGTTATGTAATATAAACTGAACTATTTATGCATTTTATATACTTGTAAGTCCTTTCAAATATTTTAATTTCATACTTTTGCACATAAATAACCTAAGTGTGTTGGGAAAACATGGATATTCATAGCACCAAATCTTCTGGTTCCAACCCCACTCTTCTCAACATTCATACACACACACACACACACACACACACACAAAAGGTGTGAGGAATACCAGTATAACCTTGTATGTTTAGGTAAATTTTTTTGTTTTCATAGCTTTCAAAGTATTTATTTATCATAGGTTACTATGCTGATAGTACTTATGAAACCAAACATCTTTTGCTATTAACTCTGATTTAATTATTTGGGGAATAAAATTAGTTTTTTTGTTCATTTTTACTTAAAAAATCCTCTTCTGAGTTCTTTTTGGTTCTTTTAGTTATTTGCTGGTACTATCGTTTTGTCCTGGAGACCAACATTTGGCTATAATTGAAAACATATTGGCATCAATTGTTAGCACAGAAACGTTAGTTAAAATCAGGTTTTGGTGGATTTGTGGTTAATAGAAAGAAGGCAAAGCTACTGGTATAGAATTAGTTCCTTTTTGAAAAAAAGAGGGAAACAAACACAAAAACCTCAATGCAGTGTACAAATAATATTTTGTTCAACTACCTCTGAAAGTGGAATTAGTGTTTAATAATTTCATTACAGTAATGTTAAATAGTAACTGCCAAATTTATTTTCCCATCTCTTAAAAAGTCTTTATGATTATTTTATATAGTTTTAAGATCTTTAAAGCTACTTTTTAAACTTTGAATTAGCATAAAATGTGTAGCTTTTAAGTGGAAAGCAAACTATGATCATATATTTTGATATTCATGACCTGTTTGACTATAGCAGTCTTTTTTTGTTGTTGTTGTTAAATGCACTTTGGCAGTAAAAACCATGGATAATTTGATCCATAAGATTTTAATGTGCCATCAGTTTAGTATTATTTCTAGACAGGAGCTTGATGAATGATAATCTGTAATTACCGTGTCTTAATTGCTCTTTGCCTGAATTTTAATGATCAATTTGTTACTGTTGCAGATGTAAATGTTGTGCATAAACTTATAAAAGCTACGTAAAAATGTATAAAATAGAATTGGGAATCACTAAGATTTTTCTGTGTAGAAGTAATGAACTTATTGTAAAATGAATCAGTTGTGTGTATGACATTCTATCTTTCCTTGAACTGGATCATATATTCATAGCTCTGTATATATTCTTGCATGAATATTTTCTCATTTAGTTTTGCCTTCATAATTTGTATTGTGTTTATTACTTGTGATCATGTAGTTGTGCCTTATTTTGTGAGTTTGGCTCAGTAAATACTGTAATTTCTAACCTCAGTGTTTAGAAGGCTGTTGATTATATATATAACTGATGAATTAATTACCAGACAGCATTTAAATCTGTGTAAAAAATGGAAGGATCCTTATTGAATTGTTTTTATAATATGTTAAAGATGATATTAAAAACACTTCTTTGTAGTAATGTTATTCTATGACTATAAATTATTTTGTCTATTTAAAAAGAGAGAAAAAACTGGGTTCCAGTGGCTCATGTCTATAATTCTAGCTTCTCAGGAGATTGAGATCTGAGAATCATGGTTTGAAGCTAGCCCTGGGAAAGAAAGACCATGAGACTCTTATCTCCATTTAACCACCAAAAAGCCACAAATGGAGCTGTAGCTCAAGCAAAAGAGTCAGCAATAGCAAGAGGCCCAGGAATGGCACAAAAACATTTTGACAAAGGTCTGGGTGCGGGGGAAGGGGTGAGGAGAAGAGAAAATATTAACTATTTTGTACTAATTAATTTACAGAATATTAGACTTTGCACCTAGATTTAGAGAGTGGTTGTGTTTTAATTGTTAAGATAGCAATTAACTTCCTGATCTAAAAAAAGAAATTGTTTTTTAGGGCTTTGCTCTGTGGCTCAAATTGGCCTTAAACTTGTGATCTTCCTGACTCAGATTCCAAAGTACTGAGATCACTGGCATATTCCCCATCAGGACTCGTTAAAGAGAAATTATTTGTAACAATTTGCTCAGGACAGCTCCTTTTCACTAAATATTGTGGGGGAATTAACAAAACTAAAAATGACAAAATACAAAATTAATCCCAGATGACGATTTAAAGATACTTTTTTGTTGCTATCTTTGAGACACAGCCTTTTTAAATATTCCAGGCTGCCTGGAACTTGCTAGGTGTCTCAGGCAGCCTTGAACTATTGATCCTCTGTCCTTCCCTTGCAAGTGCTACGGTTACATGCATGTGTGCCACCATATAAAGATACATTGGGAGGGGGAAGATTTTAACTCAGAGCTTTAATGGCAAGCCCTTAAGCTTTGCCACCAGTTTTGTTGTTTAGTTTATTTTTCAGATAGGATCTCTTGACCTTATTTATTTATTTATTTTTGGGTCCGGTTGTGGGGCTTACACTCTGGGCCTGGGCGCTGTCCCTCAGCTCTTCAACTCAAGGCTAGCACTCAACCACTTGTGCCACAGCGCCACTTCTGGCTTTTTTCTTTTTTGCTTATGTGGTGCTGAGGAATGGAACCCAGGGCCTCATGCATGCAAGGCAAGCACTCTACCACTGAGCCACCTTCCCAGCCCATCTCTTGACTTTTTTGCCAAGGGCTGGCCTTACACTGCCATCTTCCTACTTCCACCTCCCTACTAGCTAGAATTAGAGGCATCTACCACTGCACCTTGCTTAACAGTACTTTTTTTGAAGGCTCAATATGCCATTGATTTTGCAGTGTGCACGGCGCGGCGCGCGCGCGCGCGCGCGCGCGTGTGTGTGTGTGTGTGTTAGCATTCCAGTGCTGCTTCTGGGTTTCTGGTGGTTTATTGGAGATCAGAGTCTCATGGACTTTCCTGCCTGTGCTGGCTTTGAACCACGATCCTCACATCTTAGACTTTCCTGCCTGTGCTGGCTTTGAACCACGATCCTCACATCTTAGTCTCCTAAGTAGCTAGGATTACAGGCGTGAGCCACCAGTGCCTGGCTGCTTACCAGACTTCCCCCCAACCCGCATTTTATTCTAAAGTACTTCTCTCTAAAGAGTTTAATGTGTGTACATCCTCATGCATGTAGTATTATATCAGGTGTTATTTTGTGAGACAGAATTCAAGATTTTATATGTGGCATGTTCTTGAACTATTTTATATCTTTTATGTTAATTTAGTCTTTCCTTTTAATGAACTTCAAAGAAAAGTTCTCTATAGAGAGAGAATGTGTATGTGTCATGTATCTCTATGATATATATTGTGTGTATGTGTGTATGTATGTGTGTATCATCTAGCCCTAATTCCATTTTCTTTCTACTTTATAGATAAAAATCCTTAAAATATGATTATTTTTCATAAAAGTAATTATTTTTGCCAGTTATTTCTTCATAAATCTTACCTTACACAAATCTCTTGCCTTCTCTTGGACATATTTTCCTTCAATCACATGTAGATACCATCCCTAAGAACTTCTTGAAGACTGTTCTCCTCTGCCTTTTTCCCTCTTCTCTTAAAAATAGTTATTGCTTCCCAGATTTTCCTTGAATTTTCTTGCTTATAGTAAATGTCTGACCTGACTTTAAAGAGACCTGACTTTCCTAATAGCACCTGGCCCTTGCACAACAGCCTTTCAGTATTTCAGTGTGCTTGTTGGTGATATTTATGAACTTCTCAAAGAATTACATCCACCCAACTCAAATGTATCATCTCTACTTACCCTGTTTATTAATGAAACAACAACAACAGCCAATGGTTCTTGCAAATTTGGTTTACAGCCAGATTTGATAAGTTTGTTTCTTGTCCTTTGAGAATTACAAAAGGCACCATACTGAAATTGAAGTTTATGGGCTCCTATTTGATATGTCTTAATGATTCTTTATGTGCTATTAATAGTAAATAGTATCACTGAGGGTATAGATCAGCAATAGAATACTTGTTCCTGGGTTCAATCCCTGATTCTCTTTCTTTCTCTCTCTCTCTCTCTCTCTCTCTCTCACACACACACACACATTTACCACATTAAGTAAATAATAAGTTTACCATGTTAAGTGAGCTCTGCACCCACACACATATACACACTCACACCCCTCAAACCCAATATGCATATTTTTATAAATATGATCATTTGAAAAATGAAGTTAAGGGCTATGGGGCATAGCTCAAGCTGTTGAATGATTGCCTAGCAAGCACAAGACCCTGAGTTCAAAACCCAGTACTATACAAAAAATACTCAATTTCTTTAATCTCCCATGTAAAAGTGTTAAGCAGCAAATAAGGAACAAATATTAGCTTTTCTTTCTTCATGTAATTTAGTCTTTGAGGTTTTCTACTTTGAAGTTAGAATATTACAACTATATTGCATATAAAAACATTGCTGGAGAATAAGAACTTAAAATCTATTAGAATATAGACCTTACTTATTGTTTAACATATTAAAAGGGCAGTCAAACGTACATCAAAATTATCATTGTGTTTGAGGTAGGACTGTAAAGCAGTCAGATTGATTTATAAGCAGTAAGAAAATTGTTTTAATTATTTTATAGATATATTGAGTAAGATGTTAGAATTTATATTGGACAAACACAGTGGGCATTGTCTTCTTTCTGATGCTCCATTTATCTCATCATTCATCCTTTATAAGTTATATTAGCACCATTATTCTTGTGTCTTTTACAGATCCAACTGAAACATTGAGGATAGTCTGGATATCAATATGTATTTAACAACAAGCTCCCCAGAGTTCAAATTTGGATTTTCTGGCTGAAATTCTCAAATCCTAGAATACCTTCCAAATGCATATTTCCTTCCAGTTCATCACAAGGTAAGTGTTAGGAAAGTTCATGTGAAAGAATACCTTAAGTCCTAACCTCTAAAAAATCATACCACTTAGTTTAGCTGCCTAAATTTCAGAGGATTCTGCAGATAATGTGAATAAAGATTTTTTCTTGGTTTTCTGACTCTTGGTGAAGCCAGAGATGGCTGTTGTTATTTGTGTTATCCATGTTTTCTGTTGAAAAAAGAAGAAAAATCCGTACATAAATGCAAATTAGAATTTTGAATTGATTTTTTTTTTACATATTTGGGTTACTATTTTCCATGATACTTTATTGACTTGGTTATTAAATTGGAGACTAACAAAAAATTTGCATATGTTTTCCTTTTTCTTATAACGAATATAAATACCCCAATCATCCAGAGAAATGCAAATGGATTAAATGAATATGCTGCACAAGTTGGTTAAACAGTCCTAGTCAATCAAGGTCCTCAGTAGTTTCCTAATGAGAGCTCAAAAAATTTGAATTCGGTCATAATATTCAATGAATATCCTATGAAATTAAGAAAATTGAGGGGAGGGATTGGGTTAGGAAGGATGGGGAGAATGCTGTTGGTCAAAATGCATTGTATTCATAAACTGATTTATTGAATGGTAACTTGTACAACTACTTAAAGATAAAAATATAATTAAAGATTCACTATAAAAATCCACTTTCAAACTATATTCTCACAACTCATTTTTCTAATTTAGAATTAAATAATTTGGAAGTTGAATTTTTGAGTTCATAGTAAGAAACAAAATTTTTAGTCAGTGATGTAATTTGAAAAGCACACTGAGGGAGGTGACTCAGAAACTGAGTTGTTAAGAATAATACAGGAGGGGGCTGGGAAGGTAGCTCAGTGGCAGAGTGCTTGTCTAGCACACATGAGGCCCTGGGTTCGATTCCTTAGTGCCACATAAACAAAAAAAATGATTACTGTAATAAAATCATTAAAAAAAAAAAGAATAATACAGGAGGGGCTGGGAAGGTGGTTCAGTGGCAGAGTGCTTGCCTTGCATGCATGAGGTCCTGGGTTCGATTCCTCAGCACCACATAAGCAAAAAGAAAAAAGCCAGAAGTGGCGCTGTGGCTCAAGTGGTGGAGCGCTAGCCTTGGGCTGAAGAGCTGAGGGACAGCGCCCAGGCCCAGAGTTCAGGCCCCACGACCGGACCAAAAAAACAAAACAAAACAAAAGAATAATACAGGAGGGTTTGGTAACACATGCTTATAATCCTACCCCTTAGGACCCTGAGACAGAAAGATAGCAAGTTCAAGACTGGCCTACAATACATAGAAAGACCCTATCTCAAAACAAAGTAAAAACAAGAACAATAATGCAGTATTGCTGATAATGCAATTAATAATTGCCTTTTTTGTCTAGCTATATTGTTGCTATGATTGAAGACTACCAGAGGAAAGACAAAAATAGAAACTTCTGAGATAGAGAAACAGGGTTAGGCAGCTGCTTTTCTCCATAATTGTAAAAATAATGACATCTTTTCAAAGACTGAAGAGCCGATTTAACCTGGCTCATTATTGCATTGCACTTTTCTTGAAGCTGTTAACATTCTGGAAATTGTGGCACCTTAAAGTTAATTATGAAATCCAAAGCAGTTTCTCCTTTTTTCCTATAGAAACTGCAGAGAGGTAGCACTTGACTTTCTGAAGCAGGAAACAAATGAGCGGCTGTGTAAAGTCAGCAAGTTTAAGGAAGTTTTCAATAACCAGCTTTGTAGCAGGAAATGGGCTAGATGTCTCTCTCCCTTCCTCTCCTCTTTAAGAAGCTGCTTAGAAAGTATGCAAAACTTTGTAGTTGGCAACTACTTAGGAGGGTTGGAATCTCTTAGGAGCCTAGGGAATCTCTGAAGAACTAAATACCTACAAAATTAAGATACATACTTTGATATGTTCCGTTTGGGCTTGTAATAAGAATGCTGCTATACACTGTTGATATCTGTTTTCATGTTGTATAAGAAAAGCATGTCTCAGGCCAAAGACTAGAAAAACAATATTACAGAGACAAAAAGTCAGATCACTTTATATGAAATCCAAACATTTTTCTAGAATAAAAACCTAGGGTTTGTCTTTCATTTTATTTTTCTTTTTGTTTTAATGAAGGTAAGAGTTTTATGTAGATACCAAGAAAAAGTTCAGATTCAAAGGCTAAGATTCCAGTACTGTGTTGAAACAGCTCATTTAGTGTGAAAAGCCTGTCTTCCTTAGCTAATGATGTCAGCGGAGGGAGAAAAATGCACCTGAAGCTTAGGTTGGGAATAGTAGGCTTCTCACACAATGAGAATCCATACAGAGTGGGTTCTGTGTATGTCTGTTAAAATGTAGATAATGAAAATGTAGAAAAATGATAAAATTATTTGCTATTGGTAATCACCTCTTTCTAATTGTTTGCTATTATATTTAAATAGCAGTTATATCACAAGTGTTATAATAAATTTAAGATGTGGTTAAAGTATAAAATCACCTGAAATCTTCACAGCAGTCCAAGAAAAGTTTAAAAAAAATGGATTCAAATAACATCTATTGAGTGTGAAACAAAGCAAAACAAAAAGAAATGCATAGTTTTTTGGTCTACCAAAGAAATAATCTGTTTGGTTATTTTCTGTCTGGTCTCAAAGAAATGGCAGAATATACTAGAAGAGCAGATTCCTTCTTTTTTTTTGGCGGGGGGGGTGTGTGTCAAGTCGTGGGGCCTGAATTCTGGGCCTGGGCGCTGTCCCTCAGCTCTTCAGCTCAAGTCTAGCACTCTACCACTTGAGCCGCAGCGCCACTTCTGGCTTTTTTCTTTTTGCTTATGTGTTGCTTGAGGAATCGAATCCAGGGCCTCATGCATGCAAGGCAAGCGCTCTACCACTGAGCCATCTTCCCAGCCCTGATTGCTTCTTTAAAAAAACAAAAAACAGAGATCTGTAAATGGAAGCCTGTTCCTTGAATTATTAGTCAAACACAGGGAACAAAATTCTGTGGCTTTCTATGTTTGCTAATGTTTAGAAACAAATCAGGGCTGTCTCCTGGTTGTAGCAAAACCTTTAGGCCTCTTGCCTAAGGCAGCAAAGGATTATTTCTCCTACTTCACTGTCATTGTTATTGGTGAAATTTGTGAATTTGATTCACCAGGTTTGCATCATGTCAAGTGAATGCAAGACTTTTGTTTGCCTAATTGTATGAATGGTTCAAGTATCATAGATTACTCTCACTCATCTAAACCTTACTTGCCCTAAATTCTATTACAGCAAAGTCTGCTAGAGTTGGGTCATAAAATCCTGTCTTGTTTGTCTAGGATGAAACCTACTTAAATGACTTTCTGGAAAAATAATTTTACTATGTTTCTTTTACTCCCTGATTTTTTCCCTCCTTATACATTTCCTACAGTAAACGAGGCTTCAGAGATCCTGTTGTTGTTCTTGGTTACTATTTGGAATGTATTATCCTCAAAAATTTAAAACTGAAATTCCAGTCAGAATGCATCATTTGGATTATAATATAGGTATAAGGCCTTGTTATGGATGGGCCTGCAAAGTACAGCAAGGAAGAGAATAGTCATAATACAGTAAGAATGGCTGGGAAAAGCTCTTCCCCCCCCACCCCTGATTTTCTACTATAATAACATTGTTTTTATACATTTTTCTGTGTACTGGCCCTATGCTATGAATTTCCGTAAGTCCACTAGTTCCCACTTGCAAATGAGGAACTAGGAACTAGAAGTGCATAGTTTAAAAGGATGTTTTTGTGCCTCCCATACCCAGTCTTTCTTTGTCCCCTTTTACTCTTGTTCACTCTATAGCTCCTCTGCCTCATACTTTATATTTGAACTGTCAAAATTCAGATCAGAGGAACAATAAAGACACTTAAAAAAACACACATGTAAATTACAAATTAGAAGTGATAAAAGTATAGTGTTTTGGAAAGCTATGTGTGCATTGCATTTAGAGAAGGAGCTGAGGAGAAAAAACTCAAAGTAATTCAGTAATTCAGTAATAGCAGATTTTACCAAAAGTATAGCTCTTACAGCTGATTAGGCTGGAACTAAACTGGCCCATTATCTAGGCTGCTTCATCTTTCCTGCTGGGAGTGAAGAGTCTTCCTCAATTCAGGAAGCTAGACTCTTAATGACTTCTATACACCACATAGGAATACAGTCTTGTCTTTTATGAAGACTTATGGTTCATGTCCTGTTACCAAAAATGCCAACATAAAACTGTGATGACAAACAGAGGAGCTGAATGATGGGAGAGGCACATACCTGATACATGAAGTGGATCAATGCCCTTGACCACTAGTCTATCTAGTGGAATGGGCTGATCGAGTACCATGCATGAACCACCCTCTTTTATAACAGTTTGCAGCTCTGGAGTAAGTGAAGGGCATATCAAACCAAAGTCTGTGCCCCCAGGTTTCTGAAATTAAAGAGGAAACAGTATAAGGGATAAGAAGCAAATATTGATTCATTCTTAAGCAAACATTCTTAGAAGTAAGCCTGCTGACATCAGGCTTACTGTGCTTTCTAGATCTCAAAAATAATTGTTCTCAAAGCATGGTGATTTAAAGTAAGGTGCTTCTGATCTCCATGTTTAATTACCTAAATACATAATGATTGGCATCTATAATTGGGTTAAATTATTCTTTTACTTTTTTAGTTGTGCTGCGTTTGAATTCAAGTCCTTGGGTTTATTGGGCAGATACTCTACCACTGAGCTATACGTCCAACCCTTTTTTTTTTTTTTGGCTGTCTGGGACAACACTTGAACCACCTATTTTAAGCTTCTTGTGATATCTGGGACAACAGTGATACACAAATTCTTCCTGTTGAGATGAAGTCTCACAGACTTTTTTGTCTGAACTGGTCTGTAATTGGGATCTTCCAATCTCAGCCTCCCACATAACTAGCATGGCATGTGTGTGTCACTGTACTTAGTTATAGGATGAGAAAATATCCCATGTATATACTCTGTACACTATCCTCATGGTTTTAGCCATCCTTGTAGCTAAGACAACAGACATGAGCCACCAGTGTCCAACTATGGTAACTCTTTTAATCATATCACTGGGAAGATTTTCATTCTCAATATTTTAATACCTAGTATTAAATTTAGAGAACGAGGGCTGGGATGGTGGCTCAGTGGTAGAGTGCTTGCCTTGCATGCATGAGGCCCTGTGTTCTATTCCTCAGCACTACATAGGCAGAAAAAGCTGGAAGTGGTGCTTTGGCTCAAGTGGTAGAGGGCTAGCCTTGAGCTGAAGAGCTGAGGACAGTGCCCTGGCCCCAGAGTTCAAGCCCCATGACCGACAAAAAAAAAGGAGAATGATAAAGGGAGCCTCATATTGATCAACTCCATGTGTGGGTTCTAATGTAAAACTGCAAGTAGATTCTATGTTCTAGAATCTGTAAATGAGACAATGATTTTTTTAAAAGGGTCTAAAAGATGGCATTTGTGTGCTGTGCATTGAACACAGCAGCAAAGGGAAATGTAAACACATAATATTCCTTATTTTGAAGTCAAATTATGAAACATGAAGCCAGAAGTTACCTTACAAGATGATAAATCCTGTGCTATGATTTGTGCAACTCTAAAATGAAAATAGTCTATACAGGCATCAAGGTTTCTGAAGGAATAAAAATTTTCTGAAGTTGGCTTCTAGAGACATGTTAGTCTAAATATCTTAAAATAGGAGGTCATAAAAATTCTGAAATAATGACTTTCCAGTATTTTCCAACACCTACTTCCTTCTCAATCACCTAGCTATGTATAGTTTGATTAATGAGGATCTATTTTATTGCTCAAAGATTCTTAAATTATTTAGCTCAACTAAGCAACAAGTTCTCTCGAGGCATAGTTTATTAAAAGACATGAGATACCTAGACTTACGATATTATCTGTGTAAGACTAGACCTTTGGTGAAGGAATGAGTAGAAGAAACAATACCAGATATCTGATGCTTTTAATATACATTGTAGTTCTACCTCTGAGCATAGGTATCTGTGAACCTTAGAGGAGTTACCCTTCTTGATACTACTGTCATCCACCATTCAGGGAGCAGACTGTGAAATTGGAAATTTGACAGAAAGCTTTTTGTGGACCAGCACACCCAACAGCTTCAGGGGTAAAATCATACAATTACTTTGGCATACTTGAGAATTATGATTTGTTTATTCTCTTTTTGTAGAGTGTGAGATTGTGAGATTCAATTGGGTGTAGAAGAACACTAGAGTTTTGACAGGAAAAAATATGCTTAAACTCATTTAGAAACATTAGAAATAGCATTTTACCTTTTTGTTACGCTTAGTTTTTGTAACCAGGAGGAAATCATCAAAGAGAAACAGATAAACATCTAGGAATCTTGTACTTTCTGAGGAAAGATAGACAAAATAAAAATGTAGACTGGAAATGATAAGTAGTCTTTAAAAAAATAAACAAAGAATCCCTTACAAAACAGAATGGTTTTGTGGCTCAGGGAGTTTCAGGAAGATGGGTCAGAAGGGCTGCCTGTTGTAGATGTAGAGTTGATTTTTTCCCAAAGCACAAACTTGATCACAGGCCCATCTTTCAATTTAAAAGATAATGTATTTGTGCTATATTCCTGGGTGGATTGAAGGTAACTTGAGTAGTATTTGTAATGGTTTCAACTAAGCCAAAGGCAAATCCATCAGTGAATTAAACCTGCAGAATTTTGGCCCCTTCACTCATCCCTGTTGATGGCCTTTGAAAACAATGCATATTTAAAAAAGTCATTTTGTCATTTTTATGCACTGAACTATGTCCTCCCCTGTTCCTATGTTTAACTTCTAACCCACATGTGCCTGTATTTGGATGAAAGAAGAAATTGTGGCAATTAATTATAGTTCAAATAAGTATATTGTAAGTAAGGAAATTGTTGATATAATAGGATTAGTGTTGATATAATAGGATTAGGGCGAGGAGTTGTCAGTGATCCCTTTTTCTTCCTTTTTAGGACACTAGAAAGTCACCTGCAAGCCAGGGTGACAAATCTCAGTAAGAACCACCAGGACCAATTGGCCAGCATCTTAGAGATATCCAGTCTTCTGTCTATGAGAGAATGTCTGTGTTTGGAATACTCATCTGATGACATTTGGGCAGTGCTAATTGACTAAAAGCCATTAAAATAGTTATTTCTTATGTTTCATATTGTTTCCATAAATGTTTAGATGTTTTGCATGAAGCATTGTGTTTACAAATTTTCTTGTGTCACTTTTAATAGTTATGTAAGGCAAATAGACTTTCCTACTTTTCTTTTTCTTTCTTTCTTTTGTTGTTGTTGGCAGTTGTGGGGCTTGAACTCTGGGCCTGGGCGCTGTCCCTGAGCTCTTCAGCTCAAGGCAAGCACTCTACCACTTGAGCCACAGTGCCACTTCTGGTTTTCTGGTGGTTAATTGGAGATAAGAGTCTCACAGACTTTCCTGCCTGGCTAGGTCTCAGCCTCCTGAGTAGCTAGGATTACAGGTGTGAGCCACCAGTGCCCAGCTACGTTTCTAATTTTCTTAAAGAGGGGAGCAATGGAGAGAAATCAACGTTACTGTAGTTTACTATTTAGTAAGTAGAAAAGGAAATGTATACATTTCAGTGATTTCAGAGGAAAAGATAGTTTGCTCTGAAGAGGTTGTGATAATTACTTAAAAAGCAAATGTAGGAAAATCCAACCATTTTTGTAGTCTGTCCTATTTGTATTTATTTATATTATTCTAGAAGTTATTCCTTTGTGATTTTATTCCCACAAGCTGGATGGCAAAAAATAAGTAAAAGGAAGTGGGAGGTTTGGCTATCTACAAGGTTAAAAATGGTTGAGTACCACAGGCACAGATTATTCTTACCTCCCCTGCTTCATCCTAGACTTCCTGCCTAGTCATTCTGGTTTCATTTTCTCTCTGCCATTTTTTTCACATTGCTTCTTAGTAATTCTTAAGTAAACATGTTTTTAGGCCTTATATCCCTTTCATGAACTCAGTGACTGGTGCTAGATGAGTAGCACAGTGGTAGAGGAAAGGCAAATCTTGAGTTTGATGTGCATCACCAATAAAATAAAAATAGAAATAAAGAAGTTTAGTGATTTTATTTTTTTGCCCACGTTTCCTGGCTGAGTCCTGCTGTTTGTTTTTGTGCTTCTAGAAGGCTCTCAGGTCAGTATGGTCTGGCTTGAGCCAAGACTCTGCTGTTTACCTGCATGATGACTTTGAGCATGATATAAAATGCCCCATAAGCTCAGATTCCATACATAAAACACACAGGGGTAAACATAACTTTTCTGTATATCTCATTAGATCCCTTTTATCTAAAACACTGACCTATCTGCCTTTCTTGCTTCACAGTTGCCTGTGCTGTCTCTGAAATACAGCAGATAGTCAATAAACGTTAAGAGTAAGCAATTTGACTCCAGTGTATTCTTCTCACAGGATCTCTGCTATCATCAGCAGGCATCTCCTTTGGGCCTTATACACAGTTGTTAACAACAAGATTTTGTGTAGGAATGAATGAATGGGATGATTACAAAATGCATTGTGGCCAGGCCACATTCAGATTGTACTCTTATGTCCATTCTTCTTTTAGGTGCTGTACATCTATTGGGCCATTTATTCCTTACAACAAAAAGAGGAGGTGGAAGAGGGAAGACCTCTGTGACAGGCAGAACAGGCAGTTAACTGCAGGAGTTTTCCCTCCTGTTCACTCTGCCTGGAGCCTATTATCCCAGGTGGCTTCAACCTCCTAGCCCCTTCTATTGCCTTCATTATCTGCCCTGTCTTTCATCAACCTCATCTTTCCTATTTCTCAAAGTTCACCCCAGACCCTTGTGTTGCATAAAGACTGCTGGCATTTCAGCCTAAAAACTAATCTGAATTTAAACTTTAGGTTTACAATTAGGATAGAGCCTCCCAACCAGAGAGAATGGAGTATACAGAGTACTTTGTGTTTCAGTGGCACCTACCTAGTACAATGTGTGTTATGTAATGAGTTCTCAGTAAACACTTGGAAATTTGATTGTTTATCTCTCTGCAGGAGTAAAATGATGATAATGGTGATGATTGCTAGGTCTGACCCAGAGTTTACTGTATACCAGACTTTATGTAAGTTGTTTTGTTTTAACAATGATTTTATGAGCTACATACAGCAGTCCCACTTTTCAGATAGAACATAGCTAGTTCCACTGTGAAGTCTAAGGTCAAGCTGGAGCTCTTATTCACAGCTTCCATCATCCTGATGATTTCCTGGCCCTTCAACTAATAGCAGTTGAACAAGTTATAAATGAGCAAAGATGTTGGGATTTTATGAGAATCATTTATTTACCTGCAAGAGTTAATTTTCCTTCATAGAGAAGGTGTCTGTTGGTTGGTGACAAGATGTTTTCTGCCATGTATTCTTTAAAAATGTGTTTCAAACACTTGCAAAACAAAGGAGAAAATAAGAGAGATATTACTGATAAAAAGAACACATTCAAGGACCTGAGGGTATTAACTCATCTAGAAAATGGGGACATTTAGGAATGCCCCTGGATGAACACTGGGTATGAAAAAGAGTAGGAAAACCTCTCAGAGAGACTGTCTTCAGAATAGTACAGTGATGTCATTCTTTCTCTCCACATAGAAATAATGCCATATAGACAAAGGCAAAACTACCCCTTGCTCATAAAACTAGAGTTGTTCTTCAAGTGGATAGCTGGGGATTAAGACAGTCCACTTAATTGTTAGCCTTCCAGAAAGGGACATAACTGATCCTTTTTGTACCTCTGGAATGAAAAATCTTTTATCTCTATCCCAGAGAGGAGGCCACACTATAATTTCCTGTAGATGTCTAAATTTTTGGAAATTGTCAAGCCACTTCACTTTTCCTTCAAGATCCCCTGAAAGACAAGATGTATGTGATATGTTTTTAAATGCACATAATATTACAGTATAAATTTTAACCAGCACATACAATATCATTTAGACATTCTGCCTTCCCCCTGCAGTTTCCTTTAACTTATTTGCTGTTTAAATATCTTAGAAAACTCATGAATTTTAAAGCAACCTCTTGCAGAGAAAAGTAATACAAAGCTTTTGTAAATCTTTTTTTTTTTTTTTTGTCTGTCATGGGGCTTGAACTCTGGTTCTGGCGCTGTCTCAGCATTTCAGCTCAAGGCGAGCACTCTACCACCTGAGCCACAGAGCCACTTCCAGTTTTCTGGTGGTTAATTGGAGATAAGAGTCTCATGGACTTTCCTGCCTGAGCTGGCTTTGAGCCATGATCTTACAGGCGTGAGCCACTGGCGCCTGGCATAATTTATTTTTATACCCCATACCGCACAGGCTGTTAAGCAAAGGAAGAAAAAACATAGGACTAATAAGGACAAGCATGGCTTTTGATTTTAAAAGCCTACATTCTGTTCATGATAAGAATGATTATTTCAGCCAGGTACTAGTTCTATCTTCTCAGGAGGCTGAGATCTGAGTATCATGGTTCAAAGCCAGCCCGGCCAGGAAAGTCTATGAGACTCTTATCTCCAATTAAATCACAGAAAAAGCTGGAAGTGGAGCTATGGTTCCAGTGGTGGAGTGCTGGCCTTGAGGAAAACCAGCTCAGGGACAGCACCCAGACCAGTTCAATTCTTGGAACTGGCAAAAAAAAAAAAAAAAATAGAATGATTATTTCTTTTTTAGCTGTGTACCAGGCTTATGTCTGTAATCTCAGCTACTCAGGAGGCTGCAATCTGAAGATCATAGTTTGAAGCCAGCACAGGCCAGAAGATCTGAGACTTTTTGTTGTTTTTGTTGGTCATGGGGCTTGAATTCTGGGCCTATGTGTGGTCCCTCAGCTCTTCAGCTCAAGGCAAGCACTCTACCACTTGAGCCACAGCACCACTCCCAGTTTTCTGAGTGGTTTGTTGGAGATAAGAGTCTCACAGATTTTCCTGCCTGGTCTGGCTTTGAACCATGATCCTCAGATCTCAGCCTCCTCAGTAACTAGGATTATAGGCATGAGCCACCAGTGCCCAGCTTTTTGGACTTTTATTTCCAGTTAAGCACCAAAAAAGGCTGGAAATGGAGCTGTGGCTGAGGTGGTAGAGTGCTAGCCTTGAGAAAAAAAAAAATAGCTCCGGGACAGCACCTGAGCCTTGAGTTCAATCCCTAGTATCAGCACAAAAAAAAAAAAAATCAAAAACAAAAACAAAATGTTAGTTTTTTTTTTGGTAAGACTCAGTTTGCCTTTTGAAGTTCCACATTAATTTTCCAGCACTTTTTAATAACATATTTTGCTTTATGGCATATATCCTAGATTCCTTATTTGAATTTCAAATATATATAGCTACAAAAATAATCTCAAAGGATTTGCTCGGATCTCATCCTAAATTTCAGTTCTAAAGATTGCATCTGGCATTATTTTAATATTGGCCCTAGATTCCAGTGATTTAAAAACAGAATGAATGGCAATTTCTGCAGCAGATAGGTTTCTCAGGATGTTTACTCTCATTTGCTTTGTGGGAATTCAGAATGGATGTTTAAAACAGTGCTTTCAATCAACTGGGAAATAGGACTTTTCCTGCCTGAACTCACTTCTGAAACCTTTCACGGCAGAGCTATGTCCCATGCAAATTTGATGTTAACTGTTCTCTTAAATGTGTCAGGATATGACTGGAACCCATTGTTTTGTGTGTTTAATTTATAATGTACTCACACTTGGATCTCATTTCCCTGAGTCATGACCCCAGGTCAGTGTAATTACCTTCTAGAATGGAAGCCCAGATGTTCCCAGGAGCCACAGAACTCCCAGCTTTGTAATTAAGATCACATTTCTCGGGGACTTACGAATAGACTTTTCCACCTTTTCCTTGATGGAGTAGATCATGATTTTCTCAGTGGAGTCTGTACTTCTTTTCCAGATGTTCTTTAGCAATAAGGGATATCGAGTCAGCCTGTGCAAAGGGGCCACCAGGAGTTCAGGCAGGTGAAGTCGCTTGCACTGTTCATTTTGCTCACACCACTGAGGAGGGGGAAAAGCAGACGTGTCAGAATATCATCTCCCCTGTGGAGGTGTGAGCAAACCTGGAGATACGAAGTTTTTAGAGATTTGCTAGCATTCAACTCTGAGCTTGCTGGAGCAATTTATAAGCAATAGACTAGCTTTTGAAAATTCCATATTACATAGCCTTTAGTAAGCCTTATATACTAGTGCAAAGTTTTCACTTGTTTTTCATTGCTCAAGTATGCCTTGCATAATGGTGCTAGCCACACTAGTAGCTTTATCAAAGTATTTCTTCTTTTCTTCACACAAGAATCTTTCCAAGTATGCTCTTCCCTATACCCTACATACCAACATTGAGTCATGAAAAAGAACATGGGACATGGTCACAGAGCTTCAGGAGTCCGTCTTCCTTTCTCTGGACCTTGGGTTTCTCTTCTGTGAAGTAGCAAGAGCACTTGATGATATCCAAGTTCTTGTGTAGCTCCACAAGGCTGTGAGTAGAGTGGTAATAGGTAGAAAGAAGGGGAGGAGGAGAGAAGAGCTGTGGCTTCATTGGCTGATTTCCAGGCTGACTCAACAGCATTCCAGTGATACTTCCTGGTTCTCCTAGGTAGCTGGGGAGTTCCAGTAACTGACTTCCAATAGCAACTAGGGATCCCTTCAAAACACCCAACTTGGGTCAGTTCTCCAAATTACTGTGCTAACAGGAATAGCTCTAACTTCCAGCACTCACTGGTAGTCAGGGTAAATGTAAGTATGGGTGTAGTCCAAATACCAACCCAACAAAGCATAATGAAGACAAAGATTCAAGCTAGGGATATCAGAGACTTTTAGTGTTCTGGTAAACCTCAGAAGGGAAAGAAAAAAACACCGACAATTATGAAGGTAAAGCTGTTTTTCTTTAATCTCCTTTTTTGGCCTTATTTTTGGGTGCATTAGGAAGATCAATATATCTATCAAGAAAGATTGGACATAAAAGAACCTTTCACTGATAAGTCTAGATCAACATGTTTTATAAAACAATCCATGTTGTTTAATGAAACAGCAAGAGAAGGGACACAAATAAAAATATTTTCCTAGCAAAAATATCTTGGTGAGATGCAGCATTGAGCTGGGCAGTGAATATACCTGGAACCTTGGGTAAATCTTGGGTAGTACGGGGGGTAAACTCCAGACCTCATTCTTGCTAGGCAGGTGTTCTTACCACTTGAGCTATGCCTGCAGAGAAAACTTGGAAGAGTTACTGCTTCAAATTTCACCTGCCACAGGTAGATAGTAAGAATAACTATTTCACTGGGTTGTTGAGAAGTTTGAGCTACCTCATCTATGACCCATCTCAAACATTGAATCTTAGGGCTCTAGAGTCCTGAGCTATACAAAGACCTTGTATCGGTTCCAGTCTCTCCCTCTGCATCATTCTAATTGATTATAGAATAGCAGGAAAAACCTATTCTCATCAATGCACACCTAGATAATGTTTGTACATCTAAAAATCCCAATCCCAGCCAGGAACCAGGGGCTCACACCTATAATCCTAGCTACTCAGGAAGCTGAGATCTGAGGATCACGGTTCGAAGCCAGCCTGAGCAGAAAAATCCCCGTGAGACTCTTCTCTCCAATTAACCACTCAAAAACCGGAAGTGGTGCTGTGATTCAAGTAACAGAGCACTAGCCTTGAGCATAAAAATGGACAGTGCCCAGGCCTTCAATTCAAGCCCCACAACTGACCAAAAACAACAACAACCAAAAAACCAAACCAAAAATCCCACATGGTAGGTGAGTAAATTCTTTCTAGTCCATTGATAATCTAGTTTGAGCCAGCCTATAACCTGAGAGATGTAAATTTCTAAGAAAGGTATTTATAGCACAGCGCAGCAAAGCAAGAGAATGAATATCAGCTTCAGATAAACCTGAATTAGAAGCCTTCCTACTCCTCTATTTAACAGCAAGTTGCCTAAATTTTCCAAGTTCTTGGAATAATTCCACAGAGTTATTGTGTAGCCAAAGATATCAGTGATGTCTGGCATAAAGCAAGCATAGTGCCTGGTCCATAGCAGGGGTTAAAAAATCAGTCCTCATTAGTTTGTATATGGATATTTTTGTTCTTTAATTTGCGGTGGTAGAAGGTGGATTTCTTTTCAACTCCTCAAAAGTCTCTCCTGGCCCCTTAGTTTTGCCTCATGTCTAGTAATGCATTATACACTTTTTTTTTTTTGCTGGTCCTGGGGCTTGAACTTAGGGCCTGGGTGCTGAGCTGCTTTTGCCCAAGGCTAGCACTCTACTTCTTGAGCCACAGCTCCACTTCCATCTTTTTCTATGATTGAGATAAAAGTCTCACAGACTTTTTCTGCCCAGGCTGGCTTCAAACTGTGATCTTCAGATCTCACATTCCTGAGTAGCTAGGATTTACAGGTGTGAGCTACTGGCACCAGACAACATAATACATTTTAAAATCATTTATTATTGTAACAACATTTCATCCTTTACCCCTTTTCCTGAATACCTCTGGATAATATAATTTCACATATTAACATAAAGTTAACAGATCCTTGGCAACAATGACCCGAGGAATGGGAAAGAGTGCTAATACAAAGAACACTGGATTTAAAAAAAATTAAATCGAGTATTTTAGTTAATACACAAGAACATATTTAAAGGGTACCATGTGATTTTCAATATATGTATTCATCATGTTTAGATCACATTAAATATCTAAGGATCTTAATATGCTTTCTTTGCCATTTTTGCAACCTATGATATCACAAATGTCACATAACCTCTCTGAGCCTCAGGAACATGTGGGAACAGCATAATCACATTTGTAAGTTGATTAAATCATCTTTAAGAGATGGTCAAGGTAGTGCCTGGTAAAACACTCCACATTATACATGCATTATGTGTTACCATAACAACATTGCACCCTTATTGCCTTTCTCTAATATCCTTAGATGCTGTGCTTGTTTCATATATTAACATAAATGACACTTCTGTATCACAATTTGAAAATGGTGGCTAGATTTTGTCAAAGTCATCTTTCCCACAGTGTAAGAGGTGTAACTTAGAGTCTCGGCCAAGAATCTAATCCCTTAGTTTTCAGAGAAAATATTTACAGAATGATTGTCCCATATGCTTGCTAATCAAACGAGGTTTCAGTTTTTGCTTTTGAAAGCAAAGAAAATATTGAAAGGTGGAAGTTACCCAAGATTGGGTTAAGCCTCTTCACTTCTCTTTTCTCATCCCTGCCAAACCTAGGCTTCCTGTCATATGTAGGCCATGGCAAAAACCCATGGACTCACAACTGAGTCATTGGGAGCCCAGGAAACCTTTCCTTCCAAGCCTTTGAGAAGATGTTCTGCCAGGAGTTCTTGCAGCTGTAGGGAAAAGCTGGTTTTCTGGAAGAGGTTGGACCACTTTCCCTGGTTCATACAAAAAGACTCAGGCATAGTTCTGAAAACATACAGTTCAGGCTAAAAAATGTCAGAGGAGGCAAAGGAGTTGGAGAAGACAAGGGAAATTGGTTCCCAGTTTGTTTGTTAGCAAATGCTGAATGCCTCAGCAGAAATCCTTTGTTCTAATGTTTCTGAGCCCCAGAGCTGCCACACTACACAGTTCTAAGAGCAACAATTACATTGGCCTCTGTGAGCTAACCTAGAAGGTGCTGTTTGTATAGAATGCAATGTAAATAGTGCTCCTAATTTTTGTGCAATAGGACTTTATTGGGACAAAATCCTACAAGGTACAAACGTCTAGTCACCAACAAAGTCTTTATTTTTATTCTACTTTCTCCTTACAACTGATGGATTTCTTTTGTTTGTTTTACAATGGAGAGGACTGAACTCTGGGCCTTGCACTTACTAGTCAAGTGCTCTTCCACTGAGGTAAATCCCCAACCCCACGGATGACTAGCTTCTATCACAAGCAAACCAATGCAGAAATAAAACATTCTAAAGCCCAAGACAAAATTTCAAGAAGGATATTAGATATCATTTTTTCATATGTACTATTTGAAATTACTTAGTGTGTAGAGAAAGATGTATTTATGAGGAAGGTAGAATTAATATTCTATATCATGTATTTTTTCTTCCCTTGGATCCAGTTATAATAATTCTTAGTTTCTGTTACAACCAAAGAGTGCCAGAAAACATGAAAGACAATTAACTTGTACTGTACTTTTAGATAAATGCTGAAGTCATCTCTCTGCTTCAGGCTCTCAAGATAAAACACAGCAGCAGAGTAATTCAAGCAGTAGGTCTGGTGGCTCTGACAGAGGCTTCCTCGGAAATACTGGAAGAAGGGGAAGAGAATCAGCAGAGGTTCATGTGGGCTCCACTATGATCTCAAGGGAGCTGTGGCTGTATAGTTTATAAACTGACTGGTAAGCTCTGCAACATATATTCTTCTAAAAAATATGCTGTTCCTATAATAAAATTAACACCCCAGAAAATGGTCTCCTTATCCTCTACACTAAAGGAAAATTATATTTAAAGGATCATGATTTAATTAATCATTTTCTCCTCATTTTATGCTTAGTTGAGGATCATGAAACATGATTTGTGCCTAATAAGTAATTACCTTTGATTTTATTGTTGGTTGATGTTAAGCTTGTGTTGGTTGTAATTATAGTAACAATGTTTAACTTTCTATCAAATATTTCTCAAAAATACCCATTTTATCCTCCTGGCCTCTAAAAATGTAGAAATTTGGAACATCTCTATGAAGTGTGCATATTCAGTACCATGCATTTTGTTTAGTAGTCTTATCTACCATAATGTTTATCTTCTTCATAATTCTTTGTAATTCCTGAAGCTTGATATAATGAGTATGCAATTGTAAGTCACCTCAAATTCATTTTTGAATAAGGCGAATGGTCAGTTTTTCATACATATATTCATATATATAATGGTCAAACTGAACATATCACATGATATGCCACCATTTCAGTTAAGTATCTCTTTTGAAAACTATGGTTATTCTCTCTTCAGCAATATTTCTGATTCATTACAGGCAGATACTTTCTTTAGGATTCCATAATATCTATCAGGTTGTTAAGCCTATGTGTCTGTTGATAGGTTTTAGTGATTAATAGAACACTCCATGAGCCCTATTAAGGAATTTCCAATATTACCAAAATGGGGTAGATCAGCAAAGAAGACACTTGCAGGAAATGTTTGAACTACCATAGTAGAATAGAAATATAGTGAGCAGAGGAAGCAGACCCATTAAAATTAAACAATATATACACATTCTCTCTCTCTCACACATATACCACACACATAGAAGTGACAGCAATAAAGCCAGAGACAATGAAAATCTATAATTTTTTTCACAGACTTTAGAGGATGAAATACTAATGGAAAGCAATGTTAGGTATAGACAAAAGTAATTTGGAAGAATATTGTGAGAGTTTATTTTGGAGGATGTGTGTTGATGGCTGAGCTGAGAAGAGGACTTGGAGGGAACATCTTCTCTCAGGTACTGAGTGCCTGAGAAACCACTCAAGGAGGAGGCTAATAGTATGAGTTATTAGTGATTAGGGTTAGAAATCCAGTTCTAGTACTTATCTACCTAGCCAAGCCTCAGTTTCCTTCTTAGTGACTTCCTCAGATGGTTGGTGTTTGACTCCAAGGTGTCCTAATCTTGCAGTATCTTGTGAGAAGCTATGATAGACTATTTACTCTTCATCTAGTTGCATGTACATGTTCCTCTGGTGGTACATAATGATTTGCTGTGGCTAATGAAATGTGATCAGATGAGCCAAGTTTGCTTTAGGCAGAAAACTAAAGAGCCAGTACTCGGCAACAAATGCTCATTTTTGCTATAGCAGTTTGTGATGTTCCAAGTGGTGACTGCTCCATCAACATGTATCCTAAAGTTGGAACGGAGAAAAATGGAACACTGAGCACAAGTGGATACAAACCAGCTGCAGAGATCTGAGGGTTGCTAGTTACTGTGGCACAATTGAATCTAACCTGACTGGTATAGAACCTTTTATATGTTGGAAAACTTCATAAACCATCTTTGCAAGCCTGAAACAAAGTACAGAGGATTCATATGCAAGTTATATTCTAGACCCTTAGAAAAGAATCTACTAATATCCTGTTCTTTAGAAGGCCATGCATTTTGGTAGAGAGTTGCTATTTCTCCAGACTACAAAAAAAAAGTCAAAACAGTTTTGACTTCCATGAAAGTATGGAGATTTTTTAGTTAATTTCCCAATGTTATATATTTTTTATATTTTCTGAGTTTTTACATTTAAATCTTTCTGATATAGTAAAACTCTTTCATACCCAACCTTTAGCACCATTTCTCCATGAACCATTTCCCTCAGTAATGATTCAAACTCCCACCCCGACTTAGAAGGTTATCTTTGTTGGAATCTCAAAATATCTACATTCTCTTTTTCAGCAGATAATCATCAGTCACATTATTAGGTGGCTTTCTCCTCCACTACAATGGAGATTCCTCAAGGGTAGGGATTTGTATAATGTTGTATGTTGGGTGCAGGATATACTTCACACATTATACTCAGTAAGTGTTAAATAAATCTCAATATCTGTTTTTTTTGGGGGGGGTCCTGTCGTGAGGCCTGAACTCTGGGCCTGGGCGCTGTCCCTCAGCTCTTCAGCTCAAGGCTAGCGCTTTACCACTCGAGCCACAGTGCCACTTCCGGCTTTTTTCTTTTTGCTTATGTGGTACTAAGGAATCGCCAGGGCCTCATGCATGCAAGGCAAGTGCTCTACCACTGAGCCACCTTCCCAGCCCCTCAATATCTATTTTTAATGGAGCATGAATTAAAATCTTGCTGAGTGAGACTTGATAGAGATTGGATTAAAGGTCAGAGTAAAAATGAGCGGGAGGTCCATCTATCTACAAAGGAAATAAGTAACTCTGATCAAGCTAGGACTATGGATTTTCCTCATTTCTCCTCATGATGCATGAGATATTATCAAGGGTGTGATGGATCTGAAAGTTTTTTTTTGTGAGAGATGGATATTTTTGTTAAAAGAACAATTGAACCACGTAATTAGTGAATACTAAACTTTCGCCACAGATATTGCTTTAAGAACAGATTTGGAAATGGCTTTTCTGTGCATGCAGATTTTTTGTATTAGTAAATCAACAGGAGACATGCCAGAGGTAAGCAAAATTTGCATGTTATCTCTAAAACCATTCATTGGTAAGGAAAGAGAGGGCTCCTTTCTGGGGAGGTGATGGCAGAAATTTTCCAGGAACAGCAAAGAAATTAAGTAGCTATGAACAACTGTCCTGGGAGATGGCTGTGTTCATTTCATGAAGATGAGATCTTCCAGAAGGGTTTTACCTTTGTGAGCACAGGAATGAAATCCACCAATCGTGAAGTCTCAGAAGCATCTACATAGTCCTTGATGATACTCAAAAGACTGTTCACAAAACCAAGGCTTGTCTAGGGCCAGAGAGAAATAAAACAAAACAAGAGTAGGTACAAATTCAGGGTAGGAAATCGAAGTATGATGAAACTGGTTATGGTGGCATATGATGAAACTGGTTATGGTGGCATATGTCTGTAGTCCAAGTACCTGGAGGACTGAAACAAGAAGATCTGGAGTTCAAGGCTAGACTGTTTTAGATAACAAAACTTTGTCTTAAAATGCCACAAAAACTTAGACATAAAAACATGATGAAGCTGGGCACCCATGGCTCACACCTGTAATCCTAGCTACTCAGGAGACTTGAGATGTGAGGATTACGGTTCAAAGCCAGCCCCGGCAGGAAAGTGCGTGAGACTTATCTTCAATTAACCACCAGAAAACGGGAAGTGGCACTATGGCTCAAGTAGTGGAGTGCTCGCCTTGAGCTGACGAGCTGAGGGACAGCGCCCAGGCCCAGAGTTCAAGCCCCACCACTGACAAAACCAAAAACCAAAAACCAACCTTCCCCCCGCAAAAAAAAAGATGAATCTTAATTGTCATTCTTTCAGATGTTTTCTATTTTACCAAAATTTAAAGATTTATTTCTTCAACACTTCTATATATGTGTATCATGTGTGTGTATTTAAAAAACTATTAAGCATATATACATATACACATATATAAAGAGAGACAGACAGACAGACAGATAGACAGACAGACAGACACAGAGCTGAAGATCTAACCCAGAACTTTGCTCATCCTAGGCAATGCTTACTACCAAACTGCAAACTGTATCCTAATCTCAGATGAATAAATTTTTATTGCTGTCTTTCCCTCATTCTTATTCCCTCATTCTTATTATACATGAGAAAATGGCCTTCATTTGAAATTGGCAATTTATAAAAATGATGCAGATATTTGGATTATGTCTACTTTCTCAAACAGTTATAGAAAATAAAAAATGAAGACTCTTGGTAAGAAGACAGTGGATATGTTTTAGAAGTCCTTTTTTAAAACTGAATTCCTGACCAGATTTGGAGATAGAATGTAAAATAAATTACATTACATATTTTAATATGGAATACAAGTTGTAGATAAGCACCAAGCATGAAGTTTCATGATCTTTTGGTAAATTTTAATACATGATTGCTGGTATCTTGCTACTTTGGCTTACCTGAGTTAACTCCTCCAGGTTTGCAAAAAGTCTCCACAAATCCACATCCAGGAGATATTCATGAATTTGCAGATACTTTAGTGTACTCATAAAGATCTTTAAAAAATAAGTGCACATTATTTTGTGTTTTAAATTTTGAAGAATATCATATATACTTATTGATATTACTATAGACTGTAGAAATAAGCATTCCCAACGTTTAAGAATTTTAATACAAATCATGGCATTTAAGTTTGATAGAATATATTGGAGATGTGACCTTCTATATAAAGTTGTTCCTGAAGTGAGTCCTTACACTGTTCCTGTTGAATACAATCTGTCCAAATGGACTTTCTGTGCTTCACATTGCCCAAGAAATCCCAGTTTCTCTTCTTGCTGACAGCACTAAATTCATAGCTCATGATATGTTCTCATTTATTCCTTCCTTATAAAAACCCAAATGTCTGTAACTTCCAAGGAATTGAAAATAGAGAATGAGTCAATTAATGACTAGTAAGTAGTAATGTGAGTCAATTTGGATAAATGTGTTAATTATTAATGAAGAGGCTAAGTAAGTCTTGAGTTATTATTTCTTAAATTGATGCTTTTACACAAAAGAGGAGCAACAATGAGTCAAGAAAGAATAAACACAATTAATCTGCTCCTTATTCTATAAACTGCAGAGAATAATTAATTGGCAGAGGAATACTTGACTTACATTAGCATTTAAAGGGACAATTTTAAGAATTTTAAGTGTGAAAAGATGAGGCTTCCGATGACTAATCTTCCTCAGGTGCCATACCTGAGTTATGTAACCAGTGCAGAGAGTGGTTCTTGAACAAGCATCAAATTATCCAGAGACCTTGTTAAACCAGAGCTTGCTAGTCTCCAACCCAGAGATTCTGATTCTGTAGATCTGGCATGGGGTCTGAGGATGTGCTGCTAACCAGTTCCCTAATGATTCAGATGAAGCTGATCTAAAGGCCAAATGTGGAGAACCATTAACCCAGAGCTTCCTAAATCCAGATTGGTATTGGTAGTCTAAAAATATGTCAATTCCAACCTTTGAAACAGTTGGCAAAACAAGCAACCAAATCCATAACAAAACAAAACCCAAGAATCCATAATGATAGCTCAGTTGGGACAGGTTAGAAGGAACTAGTTTTTCGTTGTTGTTTTTATAATTCATGGTTTCTCTGAAATATTTGAGATTAAAAAATATATTGGGTTCTCCAGCATATTTATCTTATTATTTAAGTTGCAAATTACTTAAATACACTGGGGAATTTAAAGATAAATTCAAATTAGCCTTTTCTTAAACAGAAATTGTTAGTTTGAAAAGCTTAGGTAGTGGGATGGAAGTTTCTGAGTCCTTAGGACCAGGTATACTTAATTGGGTGAATCATTATTGCTTTGCAGGTGACCTTCCTGCTCTAGTGCTGTCCTCCGTGATAGAATCCTGGTTTTCACCTTATTCTCTCCTCCCCAGGCTGCCCATGTGCCTTGTGGCCTACTGACCTGGCTTCCATTAGTGGCCTTGATGGGCTTAAGCCAGTTAGTATTTATTCCTTATCTAGCTAAAATTGTTAGTTCAGGGTTGGACATGTGAATGAAGCTGTTGAACAAAATGAATCTTAAGATTTGTTTAGAATGCAGAGGAAAAAGTGTCCACCCCACCTCTCTCTTCCTTTCTCCCTCCTCTCCTGCTCAAAGACTAGCTATTTTGTGATTATGAGAGAAACTAGTCATAAGCTGCAGCCTGGGAAGGCAGATATGAAAGAGGAAAATAAATTTTGTCCTTGTTTTTGAGCCCTTTGATCAAACAAATTTCAAATTCTACTTCCTGTGACTTTATCATCACATGGCCAATTTACTACTATGGTAGTTAATCTACTTTTCTGTTACTTGCTCTCCTAAACATCCTGAAATACATACTCTAAATTTCAGTTTTTTCAGTGTCTTGTGGTTAAAACTTTGCTAAGAAGGGACTTAGTGTGGTGACTGACAATAAATCTTATAAAAAAACTTATAGAGTTCAAACAAAATGAATTTGATATACAATAATTGAATATGATAGAGAGGACATTGCCATGCTCTTTTTATAGCCTAGTTCAGAGATTGTCAGACTACAGTCTGTAGGCTGTAACTCATTGCAACCACCTGTTTTGTAAATCATGTTTTACAGTGATGCTTTCATGTACATCCCTCTTCATATTATCTGTACCTGTTTTTATACTGCAATGGCAAATTGAGAAGTTGCAATGAAGACCATATGGTCTGAAAGTTTAAAATATTTACTGTCTGAATTTCTATGATTTGTTTTCTCCTCAATCCATGGGTTGGAAACTTAATCCGCAGTGCTTTAGTGTTGGAAAAGCTTATTAGGCCATAAGGACTTCTACCCTTATGAATGAGGAGTTAGAACTAGTGATGTTGGAGCAACTTTGTCACCTCAAAAGTGGGCTTGTTATAAAGGTGAGGGGACCTTACTTTTGTTCTCTTTGTGGTTTCTCTCACTATATGATAGTTTCTTCCATGTTTTGATGCTGCAAAAAAGGCATCCACCAGATACAACCCTGCCATTTCTGCCTCCATGAGTCAAATAAGTACTTTATTTACAAATTACAGCAACCCAAAGTAGACTTAAGATATAGGCCTTTATGGAAAATGCTTGCAAAAGCCTGGCTTAGAAAATAGAGAAGGACAGGATGGTAGGGGAAAAACAAAGGAGGAGGCAACAACGCTGGATAAGAAATGTACTCATTACCTTGCTCATGTAACTGTAACCCTTCTGTGCAGTATTTTCACAATAAAAAACTTATTTAAAAAAAATAGAGGGGCTGGGAAGGTGGCTCAGTGGTAGAGCGCTTGCCTTGCATGCCTGAGGCCCTGGGTTTGATTCCTCAGCACCACATAAGCAAAAAGAAGAAGTGGCGCTGTGGCTCAAGTGGTAGAGCGCTAGCCTTGAGCTGAAGAGCTGAGGGACAGCGCCCAGGCCCAGAGTTCAGGCCCCACGACCGGATCCCCCCCCCCAAAAAAAAAGAAAATAGAGAAGTCACATTGAAGTAAGAGATTCACTGATTGAACTCAGTTTTCCCAAAGCAGTGCTCTCTAGATATGAAGACTAGAATTCAAAAATGTTACGGGCAGAGGTAGTATTGAGAAACACATAGATCAGTCTTCTCTGTGGTCTCCATTCCCTCCTTTCCTCTGTGGTTCTTCTATAATGAACTAACTGTATTATTGGATCTTCTCCAGAACAGGGTTGTAGCACTGTACAATCATCATAAGGTTAATCACGAATATACCATATAATCTAACTATGTTGTGTTTTATGTGGATATAGCCCCAGAAATCTGCAACTGTGACTGTGCTGTTGGTGAATCCTTTGACCTGGCATTATTTCTGAGGGAGCAAAAACTCCAGAAGAGGAAACCCACTAAAGCTGGGCTGGGCTGCTTTGAGGGTGGTAGAGAACTTTCTCACATAGGAGTAAGTGAATGCTGATGAGAAGGAAGCAGAAGAGATGTACATGGCCAATAGGAAGCTGGGACAGTGTACTAGGAGAAGATTTCATCTGATCCTTAGAGACTACATTTAAGAAAAGATTGAAAAGACAGCCACTAATAGCTGACCACAAATAAGCAATAAGTAAAACTTTCTTCAAGATCTTCAGAAAGGGAAAAATTAACTTTTTTAAAGCACAAACTCAAATCCTTAAAGAACCAAATTAATATTTCCCAGATACTATAAGAATTAAAGCCAGCATTACCATCTTAAGAACTAGCAAATGGTCCAAGAAATAAGTGCATTCACTTGTGAAAAGTTCCCATATGGCCTCTTGCTGCTTTGTCAAATCGAATTGATCATCAGGGAGTTTTTTATGTGTTTCCATGACTTCACTCCAGGTTTTATCCTATACATGGGGAGACAAAGAGAGAGTAAAACATTTCTACCTCATTGAGTTGACCTGTTCTCAGTTTCCTTCATCCACACTGTGTCAGGAATCCTTATGCAGATGCTGTGTCCCCATTGACAGCTCTTCGAACTACCCAAACCACAGCTTTTCCTTGAGGCTCAGGGACACCAGTTCCTCAGTATGAAGCATGTGGATTTAGCACAAAAAACAAATTCAAATTGATGATGTTTGGAATTATGCTTGAGAATTTAATGAATCATTTCCAGCTTGTTTTAAGCCTCAAAGAATCAAATCTAGAACAGGGTAGTCTTGATTCTAAGTTCCACTGGCAAAAGTTTGTAGATCATGATTATAACTGTTTTTGAACTCTAAAAGACTGTTAAAAAGTGTCTACAAGCAACGTATTTCTCAAATGAGGGAAGACACAGAGGTGAATGCTAGTAACAACTGTAGTTATTTGTTCTAAAAAGTTCTCCTTTAGCCAATTTGGTGGTTGTGAGAACATCATGTGATAGGCAAACTAAGGTGGCTGAGGTATCACTAGACCAGCTTATCTTATGAGACCATAAATATGGTCCATTACTGACAGAAATAAAATATTTTCTAATTGTGATTTTTAACTTTACTGTCTATTAATTTATAAAGGGATTTCAACATGACATATATGGTAGTTGACTGTGGTAACATTTCTAAAGGGCTCTGTGGCCTGCACGGTACTCTCATCCATTATCTGTTTCAGCTAAAGTAACTTCCCCTTAGGTTCAGGTTCAGTGTTTCTCCCAGGCCTGAGATCATTCCTTGAACCTGGTGTTAGGTTATTATGAACAAGGCAATAATCTGATAACTTAAAACAATGATAAGAAAATAGAAGAAGAAAATGGAAAGCTATTCCACATAACAAACAATTCAAGACAAACCTTAAGACTGTAGAACTCGTAGCCCCTGAAGTCTGTAATCCGCACAGAGGAAAGGCAGCTTTCCAGATTGGACATGTGTTTGTGTTTATCTTTGTTCTGCTTAAAGATGGCAAGAATATAGTATTTTCAAACATGAATTCCTTAGTGACATGGTTTTAGTAGCCTCTGCATCTCCTGTTGTCTCTCTGATATTCACACCAAACCACAAACAGATCCAGCATTTTAAACCACAAACAGCTCTAAGGCCATTTTAAGTTATATTATGACCTGCCAAGTCACAGAATGACAGAGCTGGAGGCTTAAGAGATTGTCTAGTTTAAACCTTTCATTCCACTAATAGAAAAAAAAGTGGTCATACAACAAATACATGGACTCTTAAGTCTAGTGTCCACCCCGTGGAGTAACATATATTCTTCTGAGTTCAGACTTTTACACAGGCCATCAGCATGAGAAAGCATCATGGCTGTAATAGTTTGACCCCTCATATAGCAGATGTCTAAATAAAGCTGATAGTGTTAAGTAGGCTTGTCCAACACTATGATTCTCTACCAAAGAATAACAAATAACATGAAAAACTCTAGTTTTCTTAAAATGAGACTACCCACTTAATTTTGGTATTATAGTATCTCTTCTAAATAACATTTGTTAAAAAAATCTGATTACAAAAAGCTGGATGCTGGTGGCTCATGCCTATAATCCCCGCTACTTAGGAGGCTAAGATCTGAAGATTGCATTTTGAAGCCAGTTCAGGCAGGAAAGTCCCTGAGACTCTTTATCTCCAATTAACCACAAGAAGCCAGAAGTGGAGTTGTGGCTCAAAGTACTAGCCTTGGGGCACAAAAGCTCAGGGACAGTGCTCAGGCCCAGAGTTCAAACCCCAGGAGTGGAAAAAAAAATATGACTTCAAAGGCACTGTAGAAAACCTGAGAAACAAAGAAAAACAATAACAAAATTAAAGCCATTCATAATCCTCACTTTCAGATAACCATCAAACACATTCTAGTCATATTCATAATCTTTTTAAGTTGTGTTTATTTACACATCTGTTTTAAGTTTCTTTTCTCCTCTTCTTCCTCCTTCTCCTCCTCTTCCTCCTCTTCCTTCCCCTCCTTCTCCTTCTCCTCCTCCTTCCTCCCCTGACCCTTCCCTCTTTGGCAAGACTGAGGAGGTTTAAGTGTCTTAAGCTTGATAGGTAAACATTTTACCATTTTATCCCTACCTCCATCTACTTTTGCCTTGGTTATTTTTGAGTGCAGGTCTTGCTTTCTGTCCTGGCCATCCTAGGCTATGATCTTCCTAATTTCTGCTTCCCCTTGTATTTGCCATTGTGTTTACTCTGTAGCTGGGATAAGATCTATGTGCCACCATGCTCAGCCATTGGCTGAGATGGAGTCTCACAAACTTTTATGCCTGGGTTGGCCTGAAACAACAAATCCCTGATCCCCACCTCCCCAGTGACAGGGATGACAGGCTTAAGCCATGGAGTCTGGTTTATAATTCTTTTTAAACAATATATTGTGAACATTATTTTTGGTTCATTCAGTATTCTGTTGCAACAGAGAATGTTGCCCACTTGAAGAGTTCATCTTACCAACCAAACCAGGAAGAAGCTATCAAATAAAAGGGTAGACTTTCTAACATCAGCTTGGCTGCATTTCAGTGGAATATTTATCACCAGTAATTTTTCAGCATTCTGTTGCCTCATTCTGTTGGCAAGTGACTTAGCATTATGCTAAGAACAAAAGACCCATCTGACAGCTATTGTGGGAAGGAGATCCTGTGAACTGGATAGGAGACCCTGTAACAGCTTCAAAATTGTTATAAGGGGCCATGGTGGATTTCTCTGGCCTAGCTGTAGCACTGATAGACAAAATCTCTTGTTGATGCTTGATTCTTCATGTTAGCTAGCAAAGAAATCTTGGAGCCAGTTGGGGACCTCCTACAGCAATGGGGGCATATGCCTTTTGTTTATGTCTGAAACCATAGTGATTGTATGTTATGGCAATTTAAAAAAACCAGCCAGTTGGAAGAGAAAGAAGCTAAGACAATGGCAGTGTTGGAATTGTGGGGAAGTGGGTGCCAGCTTCATACTTTGAAGGGTACTCACTGTGGCTACCATTGGGTTTGACCAAGTTCCTGCTCAAAAACATTTGAGGAAGGTGTCCCTCCCTTGGGACTGCTTCTATCTAGTGGGAGCTCTGCTTATCTTGTTCTTCAACAAGAACATTTTACTTTTTAAAATACCTTGATTTTTTATTTAAAAAATTGGCAGGGGCGGGGGAGTGTTTCCAGGAGAAGGGAGGTGACAGTTTCCCAGTGGTCATATTAACCCTTTCAAATCACAGTGCTATCTAGTACCTGTTGCTGGCTGGAATCTGCAGCGTATTGGGGAGATATAATGGGTAAAGAAAAGTAAGAAGCCAAGATTGACTTGGTGGGTTCTCATATTTACTACCTAACATGTAAATTGTAGGGCAGTAGATTCTGGTGATGAAGAATTAGAGTGACTAAACGGTCAAACCGACTGTGTACATTTTGGAGAAGCTGAGAAAGAGATAGCATTGTGTGGATGAGGACAGTAAGGACAGTCAGAAAAGAGGAAGTAGTATCCAGTGTTGACTACTCCCTGCCCCTCCCCAGTTGGAGGGCTGGTGCAATGTTGGGGTTAGCTAGAAACATACCTGGTCCACTGTTTACAAGCTCTGTGATTGTACGCAGACTGTTCAGTGTCTCTAGACCCAGTTCCCCATTTGTGAATTGAAGTAATAATGCCATATACCTTATTGAGTTGTTGTAAGAACTTAAGAGTTCATGTACATAAGCTATGAGATACATGCACAATGATATATGTAATCAGAAACAGTGCCTGGTAATGTGGTAACATTACATATGTGTGTATATATAACAACATTACTAAGAAAGTATATATTATATAGATAGAGAGAAAGAGCAAGAAAGAGGGGGGGGAACTCCTACCTATATAAATGATAATTCCAATAAGTTTTGATGGGTTTTCCAAGTCTATTATAGAATTTTTTTCTTCCTTCTCTCTCTCCTTTTTTTCTGACTATCAATAACAGTAAGCTATTGGCTAAAAAAAGAAATTCTATAATAGACTGGGAAAGTGCATCATAATTTATAGCTGTATGATATTGTGTGTGATATTGATAAGGATTATGCCATTTATATAGGTAGGAGATATTCAATAAATAAGGCTGAGGAAGAAGGAAGGAGGTAGACATAGTGATTTTAAGCAAACCAGATATTATATCCTTTTAAAACTGGACTTTCAAGAAGTTTGTTTTTCTTCATTGCTGAGAACACTGTCCTAAGCCATTTTTCTGTTTTACTTCTGTGTTGATAAGTTCCACATCATGACTTCACCCAACCACAGATCAAAAATATTTTTAAGAATTGTATCTGGGGCTGGGAAGGTGGCTCAGTGGTAGAGCGCTTGCCTTGCATGCCTGAGGCCCTGGGTTCGATTCCTCAGCACATAAACAAAAAGAAAAAAGCCTAAAGTGGCGCTGTGGCTCAAGTGGTAGAGTGCTAGCCTTGAGCTGAAGAGCTGAGGGACAGTGCCCAGGCCCAGAGTTCAGGCCCCTCGACCAGACCCCCCCCCCAAAAAAAGAATTGTATCTGTGCTGAACATGTGCAAACTCATTTTCCTATATTTCTCCAAAGTTTAGAATATGAACTATTTGCATAACATAGTATTGGCTACCATAATTAATCTGAAGATGATGTAGGGTCTACAGAGGGGTATATTTAAGTTACTTGCAAACATTATGCCATCTGGGGCTGTACTGGAGTTTGTACTCAGGGCCTTTTGCTTTCTAGGAAAGCACTCAGTCACTTGAGCTGTGCCTCCAGTCAATGCCATCATGTGCAAGGGGTTGATCTTTTTCTTTGTATTGCCACCACTGCACCAACCTGAATATACATGGAACCTTACATGTGCCCAGTCCTTGGCACAAGTTCACCCAACGTGTGGAACAAACTGCTTCTTTAAGGGGAAGTAATGGATTGATTCTAACTACTTGTAGGACATTTCTTTCATAGTTAGGTCCTTCCCTTCTGAATAGGAAACTCTTATAGATGTATTACCTGGGAGAGCCAGGGGAAACTAGGCTCCTCCTATGATCTCACACCTGACTAGTGACCTGCCCTGCCTCTTGTTTATATGATATGCTTAGGAGAGAATGCTCTGTCTTAATTATCTCATAAAAACAGAGAAAGTATGTCCCTAATGACTGATGAGCCAATAGCCCTAGGAATCATGGTGGTGTTGCCATGTAATTAACAATTTATTATTTGTAACTCATAATATTTAGACTCAGTTCCATATAAAACTATTAATTAAAAATATAAACATTAATCATATACCTGGCTATGAGAACAAGTAGTTTTCCAGATGTTAATTAAAAACACTACTACAATAATATGACCAATACTGAATGAGTGTTTTTGAGTGCCTAGTGTTCCACATTATCTATGCTTTTGTCATTGAAACCATCTTGTCAGGCTTCAGTGATTACTTTCCATCTTTGCAAAGAGAAGACATAGAGCGAGGGAGACATAGATCTGTATGTTAAATAGGTATGATTAGAACCTTAGGGGGCTTTTAACTGAACTACTAGGCTTAAAAAAACCCTCAAGATGTTTATGTCTATGAAACCATCATAGATCTCAGCAATGGGTAACAAATAGACTGAAGAGATCATGTGAGCAGATTTTTATCAGAGAATGCATAGGGACTTTCCATAGGCTCTGCTCCTGGGAAAGACTGTCATGTATGTGTATTGCAAGCAGAAATGTATCAGAGGACCCAGCAACAGGATTTTCCTTTGGTCTATAAAGTAGCCAGGTAGGCTGGTTATGATCATGAAACCTCCCTCCCTGCATCCACAGTAGGAAAGGCTTAACTTGTCCCAGGCCATCTTTGTCCTAGGCAGTAAAGACTTAGGGACTGCTGATTTAGATGTATTGCTCTTTAATAATTGACAGAACACTGACTTTCCCAGAATAGAAGAGTATTTGTAGAGTCTGTTTCTGTAATATCTCATTAATTTTTGAACATTTCCCATATATGTGGTGCTGGCTGCCACCTGGGACATAGATTTATGCAGGTTTCATTTCATTGAGTGAGCTGTTTCTAAACCATATTAAGTTATAAGTTTAGTGCTCAAAAACATCCCTCTGTTAGAATTGCATTGCTTTCTTTTTTGTAGAACTCATTAACAGCTGCAATTAGTACTGTTTTGCTGCCAAAATGGCACTATTTGGCATGTTTCATATCCAATAGTATGGATGTGATATCATTTACATTTCACATACCATGTGCTTTTATGTTAAGACAAAGCAGAAGAGGCTCTTCAGCCATTTATTTTGCTTTCTTAGCTTAATTAAAAAAAAAAAAAGACAGTGCACTTACCACTCCTCTTTTGAAGAAAGGCCATCTTGGTTTCTTGGATTCTAATGGGTGAAATAAAGGGAAATGTATCATTAACACAACTACTGACAGATCATTGCAGTCCTTTCTGCAAGCAGCTTTTTGAAAATGAGACAAACACAATCTGCTGTACTTTAATCTTCTTTGTTTATGTACATAATGCATATTTATATTTTTGCAGATGAGTGATTCCATGTGACAACCTAGATGTTGATGTTCCATTGTTCTTCAATGTGGTATTATGCTGCTGCTTCAGGGTGTTATTTAGGCCTTCTTTTCCCCAACACCTGGGAAGAAATCTACAAATTGCAATAAAGACATTGAATATTAATTTAATACAGAATCATAGCACCTTGTGACTGAAAGAATTAGCCTTTATTTTACATGACACTTTCATAAAGCATCCCCTCATATTCAATGACAGGAGCTTACCTAAACAGGAAACTTGGAGCTTTCTTCAACCCAGTAATCCCCAGGTGCTGTTAAATAGGAACATCAACATTCCTTCCATTTCTATGGGGTTCGTTGTTGCTATTGGTTACCATCCCACTAGTATTTAGGAGTTGCTTTGAATTGGCCTTTTGATTTTTATGTTGTTTATGATATTCAGAAAATCTGGGTCAGGCGTGGTGGCACACACTAGAATCTTAGCACTTAGGAAACTGTGGCAGGAAGATCTTGAGTTCAAGCAGCTCAGGATGCATAGTGAGATACTTTAAAAAAATCTGGGAATTATGTATTAGGTTTATGTGGTATGCTATGCGCCCTCAGAACATGGAGGTCATCTAAATTTGTCTCTGTGAGACTCTAATGTCTTATTAATTTTTCAGTCAGTAGAAGTCACTTTCTGGGGAGCATCCACTGTAAATATTCACTTGAGGACTTTTTCTACTGTTGTCTTGGACAGGCCCAAATCAGCCCACTTGATAATCCTCTCATCCATTCTGACCACATTACTATCTTTGTACTTAGGAGAGTAGGTAGAATCTTCCCTAGTGTGGACAGTAACTCTGAGTTATTGTCCCTCATATGACTGGTGGTGAATTATCATATGCAGTTTGAACTGCAATTATTGGGGCCCCAGTCTTTGGCAAATTTCTCTCTTTTGTTTTTTGAACTTTGCGGATAACATTTAGAATCTTGGGAAAATCTTACAAGTTTTCAGGAGATTATGAATACATAGTCTTTCATCATCTGTGTTAAATTTCTTTGCTGAATCAGAATCTCCACTTAAACAATACCTCAGGAGACTCATATGTGTATCACAGCCCAAGAGGCACTGCTTTAGAGCATGACTCTAGAATATGATATCTGGATTCTAAACTCCTTAGAAAAGGGCATGGAGGGAACAAGTGTGGTGATGTTTGCCTGTTATCACAGTTATTTGGGAGGTAGACATAGGAGAGGGATCTTGGTTCCAGTCCAGTAAGTACAAAAGTGTGAGACTGAATCTGAAAAACAAGCTAAAAGCAAAAGGATTGGAATCTTCTCTAGAGAGCACAAAGTCAGAGGAATCTGAGTCCAATTCCCAGTACTACAAAACAAAACAACAACCAAAAATAAAATAGGGAATGGAGAACTATAGTAGGGGATTTGTTCATCTTCGACTGTGTGGCATCTACCATGATGCTAGGCATACAATTTATAAGAGAAGCTTAGAAAACATCTAGAAGAATCATCACATAGCACTCAAGGTTTTGTTCCTTACTCTGGGGACTCAGGGTTTGTTAAAACACAGATTGCTGGACACCATCCTGAGTTTCTGATTCAGGAAGTGTGAGGTGGGGCCCCACAATCTGCATTTCTGACAACTTTTCAAGAACTGCTGCTATAGTTGTTAATGGGTATAGAGCATTTGTGAGAGTCATGATATATATATATATATATATATATATATATTAATCTATGTACTAATCTTAGTTCATGACACATAATCTTAGTTTATGACACATGGGCTAGGTTATGTTTAGTTTAGACTTAGCTCTGATTTCTGCATGTGGAACATATCCTTAAGCATCTTATTTTGTACCTTCTGGTTTGTTCATTTGACTTGTATCATAGTAGATGATAGATATTCATTCCAATGCATTGTAATCACTTAAGATAGGAAGTGTAAAAGAGAACTACAAAAATGAAGAGCCATAAAAATGTATGTTATCCTTATTCCCTGATGGATTCTAGGTTTTGAATCTAGAGGACTCCATCTGCCATTTAGTGTGTGGCTGAAGCAAGCTAATAAAAGAACTTGGAGCAAGAGTCAGGAGCCTTAATTCCATTCCTCCAATACAAATCACCTCTCACCATGACTATGCCACTTCTTTATGAGTTTCATTTTGGACAGTGGTGAATAAACAATGAGTTTGGTGGGTTTTTTTGTTTTTTTTTTTTGGGTCCGGTCATGGGGCCTGAACTCTGGGCCTGGGCGCTGTCCCTCAGCTCTTCAGCTCAAGGCAAGTGCTCTACCACTTGAGTCACAGTGCCACTTCTGGCTTTTTTCTTTTTTGCTTATGTGGTGCTGAGGAATTGAACCCAGGGCCTCAGGTATGCAAGGCAAGCGCTCTACTACTGAGCCACCTTCCCAGCCCATAGAGCTTGGTGTTTTTTTAAAAGTAGTTTTCCAGATGTCTACGACTTCTGAGAATGCCATAGATATGTCTTTGAATCCCTTCTAGATTTAGTTAATGAACTTGAACTAGATCTATTATATATATACTAGATTTCTAAGTAAGGATTCTTCCATAAAATGGGCCCCAGTTTAAAAACTACTAGTTTTTTTTTAGTTCTCAAAGGCTTTGAGTTGCCTGCCCTCAAAACTATGAGTAAAGCCCCCCCCCACACCTCCTTCATCACGAGTACTCTCTTCTTTCACAGTTGAAGATCCACCCGTAAGACTGCCTCTCTTTATCAGACATTCATGTGCTACCACCATCCCTGATTCTACAGTGTCACCCTAGTTGGAAGACACCAGTTGAGGCTGAATGAAGTAATGGATAAACTGTACAATAACTATAGGTAGGTTGTTTACTAGTCCACCAAGGGCCTTGATCCGAATTGTTCACCTTTATTGGTGGACCTGTCCTAAGTCCTGAACCTGGTATAATTATTTGACAAATGCTTTATCTATCTCTGTAAGTGGACTGCATAATACAAGACTGGTAGATGATTCTGGTGATTCGTGTCTGTGCCTATTCAAATTGATAAGAATTTCAGTCTAACTGATCCACTTTTGGAAAGTCTCTTTTACTTAATGACAATATGTGCCCAATATTAGACATAGGTAGAATGAATAGCACCTGGATTCAGCAGCAGAAGTGGGTGACACAGGTAATCAGCAGCTCCATCAGACACCAGAAGATCTCCAGGGAATACTTCAAGTCCTGGCAAGTTCAGCACCACAGAACTCCGTCTGTGTTCATAGAACCTGTGTTCAATAGATGCAGGTGAAAATTTAGAGCTGGGTTCAGGCAGGTTTATCATTCAGTTTATCTGGTTGGTATGAGGAAATAGCTGCTAGTGGGAAGTGCCTGCTAGCTACTTGGTCTCTTACGAAGAATTCAGAGGACACTTCTGGATCCAGGCATGGGAGGGTCATGATGACATACAAATAGCACACATTAATTTGCCACCTCTTTGATCCTTGTTATTGAAATAGGGTGATTGGGTCTGGCCAGTGCCATCTTGGTCACATAGTGGATGGTAGAGTCTGGCATCTTGTCTTCATGGCGAGCAAAAGTGAAGCCCCCACCACGCAGGAGATGGGTATGCCACCTGAATCCCTGGAGGCAGGGTCGGGCTCTTGGCTGATAGGTTATCAAACCTGTCAGTCCAGTGCCTGGGACTGGGAGTTTCTTGTGACCCTGCCCTCTGACCTAACTCTATTTAAGCCTGGACCACTTCAGGCGCCATTATGCCATGCCACATGTCTCTGTGTTCATGTCCTATCTCCTGGCTCTTGCCTCTTCTTCCGTCACCATGGAGTCCCACTTCAGCTTTCCATTGGAGCTTAACTGATTAGTTGGTATTTTTTGTTCTTTCTTTCTTCTCCAGCCTTCATGGTTTAGTTTCCTCACTGTGTTAAGTATACTTGCTGTCTGCTGGTCTTTGAGACAGGAATCTACCATTTAGTAGCCGGCCTTTTAATAAATACTCCAAATTTTGACCTCTCAAAATGTGGCTTCTAGCTGGGCACTGGTGGCTCATGCCTGTAATCTGAGCTACTCAGGAGGGTGAGATCTGAGGATAGTGGTTCAAAGCCAGCCTGGGCAGGAAAGTCCATGAGACTCTAATCTCCAAATAACCACCAGAAAACTGGAAGTAGCTCTGTGGCTTAAGTGTGCTCACCTTAAGCTGAAGAGCTGAGGGACAATGCCCAGGCCCAGAGTTCAAGACCCATGACTGACAAAAAACAAAAACAAACAAAAAACCCCCAAACAACAAAATGTGTTTTTTCTGTTTTCTCACCTTACAACATTATCATTTCTTACTTTCTTTCTTTTTTTTTTTTTTTGTCAGTCATGGGGCTTGAACTCTGGGCTTGGGTGCTATCCCTGCACTCTTAGAGCCATTTTTGGTTTTCTAGTGGTTTATTGGCGATAAGAGTTTCATGGACTTTTCCTGCCCCGGATGGCTTTGAACTATGATCCTCAGATCTCAGCCTCCTGAGTAGCTAGGTCACAAGCATGAGCCACCAGTGCCCGCCATACACATCTATTTTTACATCATATTTATGAAATATGGATTTCCATACACTGCAGTAAATACAAGAAATCTCATTACATATGCAAATTGATACATTTCATATTGCACTATGTTCATTTACACCTTTGCAATGTGATAGTAACATAATTTTGCGTCTGGTGCCATAACCCTTTTTTTTTTTTTTTTTTTGCCAGTTCCAAGGATTGAACTGGTCTGGGTGCTGTCCCTGAGCTCCTTTTTCTCAAGGCCAGCACTCTACTACTGGAACCACAGCTCCACTTCCAGCTTTTTCTGTGATTTACTTGGAGATAAGAGTCTCATAGACTTTTCTGGCCGGGCTGGCTTTGAACCATGATACTCAGATCTCAGCCTCCTGAGTAGATAGAATTAGTGCCTGGCTGAAATAATCATTCTTATCATGAAGAGAATGTAGGCTTTTGATTAAAATAAAAAGCCATGCTTGTCCTTATTAGCCTTTTGAACTGAGATCCTCAGATCTCAGCCTCCTGATTAACTAGGATTACAGGCATGAGCTACCTGTTTCCAGCCAACATTATAATTTCTAATCTTGACTAATTTAAAGCAGAAGGGATCATGTGGACATGTCAACTCAAATCACAGAAGGAGACTAGGGGAAAGTTCTCAAACCCAGAAGTCTTTGCAAATGATGTGCAGAAGTGAGCAAGCCTGTGGAGGTGGTCCCTTCACTCCTACTAATCCAACACTGATTGTTTGAGGTTGTTACTTTAGTGTTTCTTAGATGCCTTGTTGGAAAAGCTAGTAAGTAGGATGATTCACTGTATGTCTCTACACATTTTATGAAATTTCCCCTCTTTGGGGGTACTCACAGAATAAGTGGTTGATATATTACACACAGTGGGGAGAAGTACCAAAGTTGGTGGGCATTTGCTCCATAATATCTAAGGAGCTTGGTGAATTGAGAGGTTGGCCCTGTAGGAACCTG